TCATGATGTTTCCGTTATTTATGAGTACGATTTGTTAACGATATAACTCTACATACAATGATTTTCCGTCAAATTAACTTATAATTGTTATAGAAATAACTACGGGTTATACAGTTATCATGAACATACAGTATGATACCGAATCCGAATAAACAAATCGTCTGCAAAGGACGTTGACCTCCATTGCATGGTGCATGTGTTCTCAAACGCGTACAACTCATGAACTCACTTGTAAAAACATTAATAATAAAATAGGAATGCTTGAATGCATGCAGCAGTAGTTCATTGACTTACAAAGAAATTGAATGGGGTCAGGCAAGGACTTATTGACTGTCACATCCGATAACTCGTTTCACATGCACGTCTCTTGTTGTAAAGGAAACTAATCATTTACAGTGTATTATTATTGTTACATTGTGTTTCTGGTGAGGTAATCACGAAATCCCGAGTATATTTGTAAATTTTCCTATTCAAAGCCGAACCACGACTATTTGTAAAGATAATAAAGTTACCGAAATCAATTCTTAGAAAGCAGATAAATAGACCGTTCTAGGATGCAAGAGTAAACAAATTGAACGAAATGCATTAGTCTTGGAAATAAAAGACCAAAGATCGTTTGAGTCAGCTGTGTTCGCATCTAGCCGGTGCGTCATCACGGCGTTTCTTTCTTTTTCAAGGAAGTAATGCATCTGTTAATTGTACCAGGGGATAGAAATAGAAAATAAATTAAAGTAATTAGTTGAATTACTAATTTACCGATATACATACCCAGTTAAAAGTACAATATTATCGAATTTTGATACAGTTTTTCCGCTAGGTTTATTATGACCTAATTATTTATTTAACAGGAAATCCTACTAAATCTAATACAATTATTCTTAAATAAAACCACGTTTTATTACCAAGTTAACGCCCAAATACTAAAAGGTTACTTCAATTTTAAGTTGTAGGTACTTAAGTATCGTCCCATCTCTCTAATTTTACAAATAATTTCTAGTGACAGAACTATACTTAACCCGTCGTGTGTCTAAACGTGGATCCACGCTAGACACAATGTATTTTCTATTGTGTCTCATATCGGTGCATTCAAACAGTTAAGCGCAACTTAAAATTGCCTTTAAACTGTCAAACACCGCAAGGACACCGGTGACCGTAACCTATTGTTCTTTAATTGTGTCTATAATGACATTACTCAAAGGGTACTCAAAGTATTCGGGCGTTAAACTGTTATTTAGGAAAATATTTGTTCTGATCTGCGTCAAATCTTAGATAGAAACTTCTGTTAATCTAAATCCACCACGTAGCAAATACGTTTTATGGTAGCTATTTCATCTAACAGGGTAACTTTAAAACGCAAAGTTGAAGATACGACATGAAATGTTAGAAGTTTGATGCAAAACACAAACTTGAGAACAAAAACTCGTAACGGATTCTGTGTATCTGAACCACGAGACGTGAGATTAATCAAAACACGCTGTTGATGTTATCATAACAAAGCTCAGAATAGATTCAACGCTTGTTGACTTGAATTCTCCAATGCCTTTATTAGTTTCGAAGTTATAAGGTAAGATTCTGATATCGATGCCATGTTCACGATTGGATAAAGCGGGTTTATTTGTTTTTAAATTCTTTAAGACTAGTGATGAATTAGTCTCATCTCTAAATCTTTCTTCATCTTCATGCAACATTGTAAACTGCTTTTCATAAAAAATCTACCGTGATGCTATGCAGTAGATCAACCGGTATTTTTACTAGGAAACACTTAAAAACAAAACCAAGGCTATCTCAACGTCATCTTTATTGCTGCAGCAAATAGCTAAAACATTTCTTGAATGTCGTACAAATTCTGGAGAATCTGTAATCGTTTGTAATTCCCTGAAATTCAATTTATTGTTTGTTTCTCAAAACACTTACAAGTGTGTCCTGAATAGTAGATAAAATCTTTGAACGATCCAATTCTTCAAACTCATTTACAATCACTAATTCACTATACAGTGAGTGAAAACATGACAACTTCAATATTATTCCCGTCTAGACAGATAAAACTCGTATATTTCTTTCTCAGTCGGCTATTACGATGAATGACTTCATGTATTTATACAGCCATAACTCCTCAGTCCTGAGTTACTTGGTTTATTTATAAAATTCGAGTTACTCTCCCGCGGTGTTTTGATTTCGCGACAGCCCTACTCTTCAACTGTAGTAACGCGGCCTCATTCCGTAATGAAACTCGGTATTTTACTGACAGAAATATCCTCACCATTTTACCGTGTTCCAGGAAATTGTGTTAAGTTTTGAAGGCTCTATTCCTTCCTTGCTTTTGTGCGGTTACCGCAGTATTATTTATTACTTAAAGGTGTGTTTTGTCTGCATTACACGTAATTACATTGCAAAGTATCATTAGCAACCGGGTATTTGAAATGACCTTAGCTGGAGTTACGTACTAATTGTATGCTAAATACGCGAAACGCTATATTACACGGAAATGCTCTCCTGGGCGAATTAACGCGTTAGTTAAGCGAGTTCTACAATCCACACATGGTTAACATGTCACCAGATATTGTGGAACACGTGTTGTAAACGATTCGTGACATTATCTGTGTTCCTATAATAACAGAGGAAGAAAATATTCCAATTTATCTCTGGTATTGTAACTGCAAACATTCATTTTGGAATGTTATTGATATACGAAGTCTTTAAAATATCCCCTTATATCGCACAGTCAAGTTTTTATTGTTTATTTATAAACAAAGCGGGCCTGGACACCGGAAAGATTAATACGATATGGTTACTTCACTAACCTTCCCACTTGAGGCGAGAAAACAAACAACGATGCCCATGGGGCGACAAGTCCCACGGCTTTTATTGCTGGAAATATTGTACGAAATAAATCTTGACGGACCAAACATTTACCGAATAATGTTTGCTTTCTTGACCTTCTTTGAGTCATGGACGATGATTCAGTCACGAAGCGTAGCGATATTATCAAATCGTTATGCTATTGACGCATCGACTCGAGTTGTTTGATATCGAGGCGTCATGTTCTTTGTAATGTTTTGGGAACGTTCTGTGTCTTCATAATTAGGTGTTTTAATTAAAACGTAATACCTTTATGTGTTAATGCCTGTTATGATAAAGAATCGGTAAAATTAACATGGTATTGTTTACTATTGTTTACTTTATGATTTATTTGATAGGATCGATCATTTGTTTTAATTATTGAACTGTGTCAAATGAGATTATCATTCAATGGCAGACTTTTTAGCAGTTTTTATCTTTAGGTACACAATTAGGTCAGCAATTTTATTTATTGATCATAGACAAAATGTTTCGCAGTTAGCTATAAATAAAACAATGTGGGTCATATCTCCCCATAGACTTGTGATAATGTCTATCAAGTACTGATACAAATCTTCTGAGAAAACGTTAAGGAAGAAAATAAATCATTCTGCTGTCACGACGTTTAATGAGTCATACGATTAGTTACAAGTATAAAATGTACCTAGTATACTTAAATATATGATGCATTATTTTTGCTTCTATTAGTCGATGACTAACAATTGCAGGTCAGATGTTCCCATGTTCAGTATTTCCTCCAGGCAGCCGCAGCCTGTTATGCAACGTGATTCATTTGTGGAATGAAGAGCGATCGCTGTAGAGATGTGTACGCGCCGGGTCGAGGGTTATGGTCGGTCAGTCGACGTTACTTCTTTACATTCGTCAGGGTTCGCACTGGTTACACACAGTGATTCATAATGTTTCGAATTATCATTGTATACTGTAGTTGTATACGAGATAACAATATTTATACAGTACGTAGGTAATTATGAGCTTTTACAAATTACGCAGATAACATTACTCAGAAACAAGACTATCGTGATAATGATAATAATATTATACAGCATAGATTGTAGTAAATGCAAAAGTCATTAACATTCTTCTGGGAAATTTTATTTTTTGATAATAATTGCACTAACATAGTACGTTCTTCATACAAATCTTACAATTTACGAATGTTCTTGCATATTAAAACAAAAACGAGTTTATCGACATCGACATTCCCTAGCCAGGAATATCTGACAGGATGTCGTACTCGGCACGATACGAGGGCGGAATATTAGCGATCGTTATAACACGACCAATTTATGTTGTGCACTTGTGACCTCTAGACGTGCCCGAGAATAGAGGACAACGATGTGCTGTTTTAAGCACGGGATTTATATGCATGCATGGAGGGTATACTCGTAGGTGGCAAGAACACTGTTGGCTATTTATAACGGTACAGCAAATTGTACGGTATTTTTTAATCTGGATTATGGTAACTGTATTCTGTAATGTTTTTTCTGCAAGCTAGTTTGTTTTTGTTTACTCTTTTTACCGCCAATCTTATGCTTTCTTGCACAACACGTGTAAGTAAACATTGCCGTGTGTATATTTTTCTAAGACCACGAATAGCTAACTGCAACTTTTCGAACATCAATCTTTTTAATTTAGTATTCTTTTTAATTTAATATTCTGCGCTGAGGCCAAGGCTTTTTGCATTTTTTGCAGTGGCATGTGGTGTCCACTCAACTTATCACATCCTTCATCCTTAGCACGCAAGAACGTGCTCGAGTGTTGTTTTTTCTTTGGGTCAGTGTGAGGCGCCACACTGCCTTATTATTATTGAACGATAAAAGAAAATACTGGCTATTACAGACATTTCACTAATTTGAAAGTCGAATACTCATTGTATATCTACGTTCCATGTATGAAAATATTTTGAACGCGGAATGTGTGCCTGATTAAAAACTCTCATTATGATTTGAAATGAGGTTGCAATTTCCGTTTAAAAAGTTTTTGTTGGCTTTTATTCTCTTCATAATCTCATCCTATTTGCGAGATTTATGATGACGGTTGTCACAATGAAATTGGGTCGACCTCAGAAGTTAGTTGTGGCTTTAATATTAATACTTTCGTCGCTTGAAGCAATGTTTAATGTTTTTCATTTTTGTCCGCAGAGCCGTCGGTAAAACATGTCTACTAATCAGTTACACCACAAATGCCTTCCCAGGAGAGTACATACCTACAGTGTAAGTATACATACATTCAATCTAAAACTCATAAGTACATTACAGGCAAAGTTTTGCATCCTTACTTAGGAAAGTTATATAATTCAAACAAAATTTAACTAAAGATATATTTAAACAAGGTTTATGTATTGCGTAGATACTTGATTAGTTATTTGACCTATTTCGCAGTCGAATTTAACTTCGTCATACATTTAATTTCTTGGGCAACCTTCAGTTTTATTGGGATGTTGTGATTCTCAGTACTGTTGATCGTAAATTGATTTTATTGCTACGATGACTTATGTTGTTTTAATGAGAGCTTTTAGTTAATTTTATTGGTTTAACTACGTCAATAGGCCTATACTTAGCACCCTTATTAAGGAACACAGTTTTTTGATGGTGATCCATTAGTTATCTGATAAAGGCCTGATAAGCTGCTCTCATGTTAATCACCGACATGATAATTCAGAATTACTAGTCAGTGGTTATAAATTTTCATTAAACATTTTCCAGATTCGACAACTATTCAGCGAATGTGATGGTGGACGGCAAACCCATCAACCTGGGACTATGGGATACGGCGGGACAGGAAGACTACGACAGACTGCGACCTCTCTCCTACCCACAGACAGACGTCTTCCTTATATGCTTCTCGCTTGTTAACCCAGCGTCATTCGAAAACGTGCGAGCTAAGGTGGGTCTTAGAAACATAATTTTCGTGCCGCCACAAAACTCGTGATTAAAATCCTAATATGAACGAACATATTGAACATTTACAACAATAATGGTGGAACCTAGATATCAATGCAACCTATGTTGATATTTGTAGCAATTTATGTAGTAAAGGACGGAATGCACGTCACGGAACTAAGAAAAAACGTCTTCATCATCAGTTGTAAGACGTTTACTTCTATAATAGGTATATGTCTCATAAAGGAGTTTGCTATAATGATTCCCATTCCTACGTTTGGCAAATGGCTTGAGAATCAGTTATGTCGAAAATGAAACCCATGATCTTAGTTTTAGGACATGCCCAAGTGTACCATTGTCCTGCAACTTTAAAAATAAATGTTACGTAATATGAGTCCCTAATGGATCACAAAGAATATAAGCCGTTTGCCGAACAACTGAATTGGTCACGTCATACGTGCTGAATTAGGAAGTGGACGAATCAGCGCATTGATAACAGCTCACAAAGCAGCTGCATGCGCCCTCGATGTAGTTCTTTGTTCTCTACTTAATGCAATAATCCTTTCCATGAAACACCTGAGTGCCAACACAACCCATTTATGATTACAATGGAATTTTGCGTTCGTAATATTGTTGTGAAGAATGTTTAGATACTTTCAGATTTCTACGTTTTGGTCATATATTGCTGCCTCATTGGCCGAGTGGTCGCAAGTGCGACTGCCGGGCAAGGGGTCTCGGGTTCGATTCCCGGGTCGGGCAAAGTATTACTGGGGTTTTTTAAAAATTTCAGTAGTAGCACGGAGTCTGGAAATGTGCCCGGTATATGGCAATAGGCTCACCCCCTATTACATGGGACTCATAACATAAATAGTGAAAAGTGGGTGTTACTTCTATGTGCACCTCTGCCTACCCCTTCGGGGATAAAAGGCGTGATGTTATGTGTTATGTGGTCATATATTGAAACAAAATCTTAATACAGTTTTATACGGTATGTGACCTCTAATAGGAGGGAATACCCCAAGTCCAATGCAGTAGGGGGATAAATCGATTAGCTTTTAGATCAAAACTAAACTAAGTCATATGAAAACATGACATAATAGGCACAATATGCGCTTTTGCCATACAAGCAAGTATAACAGTTCACACATAGGAGCTACTTAGGTATTAGCCAAATTTCCGTGGTGCTTGCCGACTGGGCATCTTCCAGTTATACAGTCTCTTTTTTGTGCCTTCAGCCTTAATTCATTATGTCTCCTGCAGTAATTCACCGAGAGAAGTGGAAAATCGTATTTTCTTCTTCTCTTATTATAATATCTTCTGATTCATTTCGTTGCGGGAACCAAGAAAGTTATTATGTCCCTGGGACACGCCGGACTTCAGTGTTCTGGTGTTTTCATGGTTGTATCTACTGTAGCTCCTAGCTTACAGGAGTTGCAGCGGTTTAGGGAGGTTGCTTGGCTTGCCCTATAAAAAATAGGGACAATACTTTATTTGAATTTTGTTACAATAAGGAAATCATCACAATAAACTGTTTATATGTGTAATCAACGTCATAATTGTACATTACAGTGGTTCCCCGAAGTCCGGCATCACTGCCCGTCGACGCCCATCATCCTGGTCGGCACCAAGCTGGATCTTCGCGAAGACAAGGACACCATTGAGAAGCTGAAGGACAAGAAACTCGCTCCCATCACCTACACACAGGTAGATATCTTAGAACTTTTATTACTATTTTAATTAGATACTTAACTTTTTCGAAAAGCTATCATCATCAACAGCATATAAATTCCCACTGCTGAGCAAAGCCTCTTCTCACACAGAAAAGGTTTGAGTATTAATCACCACGCTTGCTCAATGCGGGTTGGCGATTACAAACTTATAATTAGAAATTGTAAGCCCAGGTTTCCTCACGATGTTTTCCTTCACCGTTTGTCAATCCGAAATGCTTACTTCATGTGTAAAATATTTGACATTGGTCTTATGAAAGCATGATTGTATGTTTTGATATTTCGAACCAAAACATATCATCATAGTAAACAACTAGTAACACTCGTAATAGTGCCAAAGTAAACAGAGCTCTGTTTATATGACACTTGATATATTTTCGCACCGCCCCTCGTGTAACGAGGTGGGAAGTACCTGTCGCCCCCAGGATATTACAAATGTTTGCTCATGTTGTTATCATGCTAATGTGAAACTTATTTTTATTGTATTGTGGTTTACATTATATATATTGTACTTAACTTCTATAGCTACAGTGTAGGAATATCGAGATAAAAGTGGTCCATGTAAAATTAAACTTTCTAATGGAGAATTTTTTTTAACTTTGTTTCGAAGTCTACTCTATATAAACAAAAAAAAAATTTGATTTTAAAATATGATATCAGAATGGACTGATGTCGATTGGCTGACAAGAGAAGAAGAAGATGTCTGAATGATGTGATGTTAGCATTTCCTGCAATCGGTTGATTGAAAGTACTGGTTGTAATTCTGCAATAACGCCGCGGAGAACTTAACGGTTTGCCGGGGCTCCGGCTCTAAGTGCAGGAGTAGGAATGGGGTGGTTTTTAGTCAGTACGAGCACTCCCTCCCGCCTCACACAGGCGGGAGAATTCATTCGATGATTTTCCCCCTTAAAAAAACCTCTGCAATAGCACGCCATTGCTCTTCAATAGCAGGGTATGGCATTAAACTGACCACTAGCCTTTTATCTGTATGTAAACTGTGTATTCTTCTTCCTTTATCTGATCACCTAATAACACAATAATTATACAATTCCAGGGTCTGGGCATGTCTAAAGAGATCAGCGCAGTGAAGTACCTGGAATGCTCGGCGCTGACACAGAAGGGGCTGAAGACGGTGTTCGACGAGGCCATCCGCGCCGTGCTCTGTCCCGTGCAGCCCATCAAGCCGAGGCGGAAGTGTAGACTGCTCTAAGGATCGTCTTACACTCGCAGATAAGGTAAATAAAATAAAAAAAAATCATTCGTCACATCGTAATACTTCACGAATTTAATCTTCCTTTAAAACCTACCATAAAACCTTGAGATGAACAACCATTTTAACTCGTCGAGTACCGGTTTTATAGACACAATTAAAGAACAATAGGTTGCGGTCACCGGTGACCGCTTGGTGTTTGACAGATTAATAATGACAATATGTATGTGGATCGATTTCAATCGTTTGTCCATTAAGGGTTAAAAACAGTAACTGTAAGGAAGTTTCAGTTTTAGCCTTGAAATGTCGATATATGATTGTATATCTAAAAGTGATAGTAAACAAAATACTTTATGGACGTTTTGATTATATTGACTTTAAAGATATTAGTTTTATTGGTCATTTTTAATAGAATAGTAATTTGTTATTAATGTTGGTATTTGAGAACGCAGCCTTTATTTTGTTCTGTTGGTCATAATTGGGACGATGAGAGGGTATGAAAATTAAAAATCTAAATAGTCCATAAGTTAGGTAATGAAAAAATATTAGACACGTGTTTGTTTATTTTGTCGTATAATAAAACAATACTTAGATAAAACGAATCAAAGTTTGGGAGTGGGGGCTAAAACGTCATTTCTACGTATAAAATGTACATAGAAGTGACGTCACGCTACATTTCAAAACAATATATCGTCGAAAGTATGTAATTTTGTGAAAACAATACGTGTCTAAAGTTTTAAACTAATCAGACGGACATTACAATAAAATTTAGGAAACTACCCTATTGTAAATGTAAGGTTGGCAACATTTTTTATTCCCTCTCCCGAATTTTGTCTATGACTGAATGTTGTGTGTAAAGTCTTGCTCAATTAAACATATATTTTTCCGTATTCTAAACAGTTTAATTTAATAATCCTCCTCACAAAATCAATTATATATTATACTAGTACCTACCCCTTCTGCCTTAAATATCGTGTAATTAATTGAGTAATATGTTTGTCCACAGATAGCGTAGTACAGACGTGGATGCCAGTGTTTACAGCATAGCTTACAATAGAGCACCAACATCAGAATCAATGTGCTAAACACGAGCGCTGTAATCAAATGGACTGCAATAAATGCATACATAGATGTTAATTTCTACTGTTAAAGTACGCATTATTATAATTATGTAACGTGGGTTGGTGTGAGTGAGCTCCGTACTATGTATAACGCTTTTTATATCGACCGGATATCCCCGTCACTGGCAGTTTTAGGCTGTACAAAGTGTGTCCTTTGCCTACTCGTTCGCAGTTGTCTATGGATTCTTTTTTTTAAATTTTGTATCGGTAATACTGTCGTGAATTTCTACCTCTAGCCACTGTTCGCCATTGGATACCTTTATTGTATATTGTTTCACAAATTATCATACCACCGTCTGTCAGTGGCTGTAAGGTCCTATCCGAGTATAACTCATGTCTGGGTGCTTTATCATAAACCTGACCGTTGCTGTAACGAAAATGTTATTACATTCCTACATCGTATGATATTCGGGTACAAAAATACTTTGTCGCTTCTATACGGTTGTTTAAAAAATGGAATTGTTGAAATTTGTGTTTGCCAGAGATTATATTTTTCGATTTATTATTGCTTTTTATTTGTTTCCACATTGTTGTATCAATGTTTTGCGGTCGAAGCGAACTCGTATACATTTTCGTCCTTATTTCTTGCTGTTAAGGTTCAATTTGTGTACGAGTTATCGGCTAAAACTAGTGGCGTAATAAGTACAGCATTCGTTCGTAAGAAAATGTTTAATCATTAAAGTTTCGTATCATTGTATATTTAATTAATTAAACGTTATATGTACCTTTGTATGATGTAAACTGTATTTCGTTAATATACTACGCAGTTTCCGGTATAAATTGACTTCGATGTGATTCGTAGGTTATAATGTCTTAAATAAGGGAACCCACTGTACTGTACAAAACGTATACCCGAGCACACAATCCTGCATTTACTAATTCAATAGTAACATTTAATAATATTCAATTAACTACTGAAGTCTGCTTTCATTGGAGTCAACTAGGAAATATTCGACCAATACGCCATCTAGCAAATAATAAATAGCTGTTACATTTTATCTAAACATCAATATTCAAATTTGATCCTTACGTGGACGTTTTAAGCCGTATATTGCAATGTTGCGATTTCTTTCTCTAAATTGGCTAAAAGCTTGAGAGTAAAAGCGCCGCGTGAATGGTCAATACTTAGATACATATCGTTGGTAAAGTGTAGCTATGCTATCGTGACGTCATTGTGACGCTAGTGGCCATAGATTTGCGATTTTAGACCTTATCTGATAGAACATAATGTCGACTATTCCTTAAAATGTAAATAAATCGTAGAACTATGGTCCCTAGCGCAGTTCTCAGTAAGCAACAAGATTGTATCGCAAACGTTTAGTCTTCTACGGCTAATGAAACCGCACAACTACTTTTAGCATTACCCGACCGGGTCGCGATGGTCAGTCTACCGTAGTACGAACGTCTCGCTCGCCGACCTCCCCGACTCGGTCGCGTTACTGTCACGGGAGGCATTTTTCGCTGAAAATGTGATAAACGGGTTTAGGCTCTAATTGACTGTCTAGACATTTTACTCGGCCTCTAGTTGAGACGCTTTTTTTACCTTATACGCCTAACTTCACAACTATCGTAGAGTCTACAGATCGTTTCTTTTAGTAAATAAAATGGCACTAAGTTAATTACTGTCTAAATCCACTCCTAAAATATAAATGTTTATAATAAGTGAAACAGTACACGTAAGTTTGTGTTTAAGTGTGCAATTGTTGTTGCTTCACGCCGGACGCGGCACGCCGTATGTCTTGATGCCATACACATACAGATTCTTTTAAAACTTCGTTTAACTATTGTTTCGGTCTTTTCCAAATTTATAAAGCTCGAACAATTGCACAGAACATCCCTAGCCGTAAGATTTTAATGTATGTATTGTTCAGATGCAAATATTTAGAAGAATCAGCATGTAAATAACGGTAATTTAGTATTAAATACAAAAATAAAAACACGCCATTTACTTTGGTGTGACATTTTTATACTAGATCCATTTTTTTTCATAATGTACCTATGAACATTTTAATGCTAATTCAAAATTAATTTTACTAAGTAGGTTTTATGTATTCTCGTATTGTAATACGTTTATGGTTGAATGGACTAACTATATTATGTCTAGTTATAAAGTATATAATTTTAATAATAGGCCAACAATATAAGAGATGTGTCGAGGCAGCGACGGGACGAGATAAACAAACAAATATTTTTAAACTGAAACAAATACGATAATAACATTATTTTGTGAAGAAAACAAAGTATTTAGCAATATTTTTTCAACGGGTAAAGAGTGGAGGCGTTATATAGCCGATATATACGTGTAATCTAAAATATACCTTGAGACGACTATATTAAAGTATTGTTTAGTATGTCTGTTAGTCCAAATTTTTCTTATATATGTTAGACGCGTTTATTTGTATCGATGTTGAGTTGTCACCTTGTTAGAAATATTTGTTGGTATGTAGTCACTTTGCCATGTACTGCATTTGCTTTTCATACTACCAGCTTGTATAATATTATTTTTATACAAATTTGTATATGTATAGATATGCGCTGTGTCTATAATTCGATTGTATTGATAGTTAGATAACGCTGTCGAGTAATTCTTCCAAATATTGTAAAGCCTCTGAATAATTCAAAATATATTTATATTAACTGTTCATATTATTTGTTTTATTTATGTATTTATCCTGTTTATTATTCTGTATAATCCTACTTGTAGATTCTTAAACATCTGTGAATTAAGTATCATCAAAACTATTTTCCTTACTTTATAGCTTTTCACTTACACCTTCACCTATAAAACGTAAATATTCCCGAATCATTACAAACATACACTTACCTCTAAAGGTGCTCCCTCACCATTCACGTGTAATCTAACATTATAGGTTCGACTTTGAGCATTACATTACATCAATATCTCCCCGTCTAACGAGCATTTGCGTGTAATGTAACATTATAGATTCAACTTTGAGCATTTCATAGCAAGATGTCAGACATTGATATTACAAGTTGTATCAAGATAATACACATTGTATCATTACAAAGTGCGCATTGTAATGCTCGGTTCTCCTCCTTCACTGATGTAATGCTCAGATCTGAAACGTTACATTACACGCGAATGCTCCCGGTGAGAGAGAACCCTAAAATTACTAAATCCATGGGTAAAATCATCATCAAAATTCATTCAGCAGTTTCTGAGTTTATCGCAAACAGACGCAGCGGGGGACTTTAATTTACAATACGTGAGGATAAACATGATCTTAGTACATTGTATTAAGTAAATATAGCTGACCTTATATAGCAATAACAATAGTTATATCGATAAAAGTTTTCGTCATAATTACAAATAATAATAGAAAGATAATAATTACGCAACCTTGGTAACAGATACCGTGAAAACCCAGAGGAAATTAAATATTGTACTTTAGACGTCGAATAGAGATAAAACAAAGATTCTTAAATTATGTTGCTGTTGCTGGGGACGATTAAATAAGATTACTTTCAAGATAGTATTTTGTGGTATCGGATGTCTATATCCTTTTTGTTAAAGTTCATATCAATCGATTTGATATATTAAATAATCTTGTCTGGCTGTTTACCCTGGTGAGTCCTAAACTGAATTCAGTGAGTCGCAATATATTTACACGATTATTAAACTTAATTTTTAAATCACCATCATCTGTCGTTAAAGCTCAGAATCATAAGTGTATTTTTCTGTACTTCTTTTCGATTCTCAACAATTGTACATCCTTCTTAACAGACCCCACGACATCATTCCTCAATCCTTTAAAAAGAATAAACACACCAGCCGAATTGAGAACCTCCTCCTTTTTGGGGAGTTGGTTAATTAAAAAAGAGAATATCTATAGAAGAGAGTTGCGCATCATGTGTAAAATAAATACCAATCTGCATTGTAATGTGTTGATCATAAAATTACAACATCGGTGCGTGACGTCCCCGTGATTTTCGTGTGTTGCATCGAAAACAGATGAAGTACAAAGTTCACAAGTTGCATTCAACATCAACAGCTGTGTTTCAAGGTCTCTGCATATTTAGATAAAGTAGGCACTCCTGCGCACCATATTTTATTTATTAGAAGCAATTAACCTACTATAACAAATGGATACACATGGGCACGTGCTAATGTCTAGAAAGAGAGACTATCGCTAGGAAAAATCACTGATGATTAAATAAATATTAGCTCTATATTCTAACTTTGTATCACCACTGTTATTTGACCTTCCCCTCCACTCTCCATTCAAGACAAGTAAACACGTCAGAAGAGAAAAACAGAGTTCAATGTAAACTGGTTATGTGTAAAGATAGTAATACACATACGTTTTGTAATCAGTCGCTTGAGTGGCGCTGCCAGTGAGCAGTCCCCGTGCGTCTGTTTCTTGGAAAAAAATAAAAACAAGAAAAATAATCGTGTTACCCAAAATTTAACTTTACTACTGAAAAAATAAAGTTAAAATTGGCAAAATGTCGAAAGTGCTTCTGAGTAAGGAGTTGCCTGATATTGAGGTTGGTGTTATTTCGTTTTTTTTTATCTTTTGTCCGAAGATAAACTGTTGTAAATGTTCGTATCGATATTGTGTCATAGTTATCTCATCGCTAAAGTAAACGTATCGTTCGTTCTATTTGGTTTGCAACCCATTTACCCATACATTTTGTTAAACAACTGATTGTTTGAACATAGTAAATAAATAAATATAACATATATTCTTTGTCTTCTCTACGTTTTACTTTTATACCAATCACAAATAACTAATTCCACCTACACAAAGAATCGTACGCAGGTAGGTAGGTACTTAACCGAGTGCATAAATAAATGAACACAAACTTGTAAGACAAGTTTTAATTCACAATACAAAGTACACGTTCAATATTACGTTCAAATTTTTAGTTGCCGCCGAGGCCAAATTATTTAGGAACAATTTTATAGCATATGGAAACTTCGTAGACTTTCTCTACGATAGTTTTATAATACGTTCCTGAGTCGGTTACGACTTAGAACAGTATTAACACTTTATTAATGTTTTAATTGTACGTAACTCATGGCGGAACTTGCAGTTTTACTGTCATTAATAGTATGAGGAAATGACGAACAGCATTGGCGCGTTGATCATTGTCCACTTGTTAATGTAATGAGTTAACGACTTACAAACATGGGCACGCCAATTTTTTGCTAATTGATTTACTACATCGTTAGAATGCGGTATCACGCTAAAGAACCTAACGGGTAACCGGGGCTCCGGCTCGACGTGCAGGAGAAGGAACGGGGTGGTTTTTAGTCAGTAAGAGTCTGACACTCCCTCCCGCCTCACCCAGGCGGGAGCAGTCTCTCGATGATTTTCCCCCCTTAAAAAAAAAATCACGCTAAAGCACAGAAAGGGGGTAGTCAGCACAGAACAAGACTTTCGTTCTATGTGACAGAGGTACCTAACTACCTACTAATAGTCATTTTTTTAAAAGAAATCTAATGTTCATCTTTATAGCGTGGGAAAATAGTGACGTAAGGTTAAGACGCAAGACGCAACATACAAAATATTGAAAAGTAGGTGAAGGTACTCCCGGTTATAAGTAGGTACACTATCACTACACACTTTTTTTTGTCACGTCGGGGAAAAACATATCAAGATTGGTAGTTATAATACAATCTTGATCTATTAACTTTGTAAGATCTCATCCAAATCCTTTCAGTAGTTTTCGCGTTTATAACTATTATTAACATAAACTTTAAAATGTTACTTAGTTTATGTGCCCCAACCACCAACAATAAAGACAGTTTCATATTTTTAGATGTTTATTTCATATCAAATACGAGATAATGATAACACGATTTATTTGTTATTGTGTTAATGTCGAAAGGCTATCATTGATGTGTGAAAAATATTCTCAAATATATACGCATTTACATGTCTACCAAGGTTATATTTTATCATTCATAATATTAGGACTATCCAACTGCTGGTATGATTACATAACATGGCATCACGCCTTTTATCCCCGAAGGGGTAGGCAGAGGTGCACATTACAGCAGTTAATGCCATAGTACAATGTAACACAAACATTTCACTTTTGGGGTGAGCCTATTGCCATATACCGGGCAGAATTCCATACTGAGAATTTTTAAAACCCAGTAATATTTGCCCGACCCGGGAATCGAACTCGAGACCCCTTGCCCGGCAGTCGCACTAGCGATCACTCGGCCAACGAGGCAGTCTGATATGATTCTAAAAACCAAAAATTTTGGAGCCTAAGGCATTTGAAATTTCATACTGTAGGTACACACCTTTACCTGTAAAAAAATACTTATTTGAAAATATCGAGAGATATTGTGGAGATAGGCAATAGACTGATTTCTTTAATGATTTCAGAACCTCCTAAGGCTTAATCCGACAACGAAGCCCTACACCAACTTGGTGCCTTCAGCCCAAACCAAGAGGAACAAGCAGCATTGGAAGAGAAACGAAGATAGAAAATGTACAGTAAGTTAATATTTTTAAATTTTTGTATATTTGTTGCCAAGTAGTTGGCGCCACTGTCGTTTTTTGTCTTATCTTGTCATTACAAACATTTGAAGCTGTTAACAGTAACAGTTAACCAAACAACTAATTGTTTAGTTAGTTGTTTATTAAATTTTAAATTAGTTAGTGATTACTTAGAGGCATTTTAGACATGTTAATTATTTCATTTTAAAACCTATAATAGGTAATCGTGATATTATAGGTAGGTAATGGTAGCATAACATTATATTACCTTAGCCGTGGAGAAACTAACGGGTTATCGGGGCTCCAGCTCGAACTGCAGGAGTAAGAACGGGGTGGTTTTTAGTCAGTAATAGTCTGACACTCCGTCCAGCCTCACCCAGTCGGGATTTTCACCCCTTCCAAAAAAAAACATTATATTAGCTTTGCAAATAATCATTTGCTATGAAAATGCATGAGCTCTTTAAAACGACCCTGTAATATTTTTGATATCATCTTACATAGATAACAAAGTGCAATATCATGAGTTTATTTCAATGTTACTATCTCTGATAAAGTAATGGTCAGACGCGTGCACTTATTTCTAGATAATAACATTGATAATTTACTATTTGTTTGTAATAAATGTAGTATAGAATAGAATACTCGTGATACCTACATGTAGAAAAGTATTTACTTACAGTACGCACATTTTTTTTAAGGGGGAAAAATCATCGTATTACTGCTCCCGCCAGGGTGAGGCGGGAGGGAGTGTCAGACTGACTAAAAACCACCCCGTTCCTTCTCCTGCACGTCGAGCCGGAGCCCCGGTAACCCGTTAGGTTCTCCGCGACACGCACATACCTTTTGAACGCCAGAGCAAAAACACATGAACCTGCCCTCAACGCCAAGCCACAAATTCCGCGCAAATTTCTACGGAAGAAATAGGGATTCCAATAGGGAATCAAATTGTTGATTTCGTGTTTCCGGTTCCGCTTTTTCTGTCATGTATTTGTGTCGTTGGCGTCCAGGGACAGTTTTCACTTGTCACTTATATGTGACATCGGCGCTCAAAAGGTTAAGGCAGTAGTTACCTACTGCTGAATAAAACATGCTTATATTAAATGCGCAATTAGATGTTAGATAGCTGAGCCTCTATAAACGTTATGACTGTTACAAAACAAACAGAATAAACAGCCAGGTTATCGTTGAAATTACAAAGATTATAATATAAAAATCTTGTCAAATAACTAACTACCTAATAAAGTGTTTATGCTCACTGTATTACGTGACTACTTATTTAATGTAAGCCTTTAATGTAAGACTGCCTCATTGGCCAAGTGGTCGCAAATGCGACTGCCGGGCAAGGGGTCTCGGGTTCGATTCCCGGGTCGGGCAAAGTATTACTGGGTTTGTAAAAACTTCAGTAGTAGCACGGAGTCTGGAAATGTGCCCGGTATATGGCAATAGGCTCACCTCCTATTACATGGGACTCATAACATAAATAGTGAAAAGTGGGTGTTACATTGTACAGTGGCATTAAGTGCCGTAATGTGCACCTCTGCCTACCCCCTTCGGGGATAAAAGGCGTGATGTTATGTTATTTAATGTAATTTGTCTATTTATTCCAGGCATGTCCATCGTTGACGAAGAATTTCGACGACATCAAACACACGACGTTGTCGGAACGCGGCGCGCTGAAAGAGGCCGCACGATGCCTCAAGTGCGCTGACGCACCCTGTCAAAAATCCTGCCCAACGCAGATTGACGTCAAGAGCTTTATCAGCAGTATTGCTACTAAGGTTTGTTGATAATTAAAGTAAAGATAGAATAATCAATGGGAAATGTTTTTTGATCGATGCACCTATGACTCGCTCAAGGAATAAGACTGCTTATTTTTAAAAGTCTATGATTTTCCTTATTTCTTTTCTGTATGAGTGCCTTTATCCAACTGGTACACAGTTGCAAGTCTCAATAACTTGGTTGGTGACTGGTGGTTCTATAATTCTATGCTGCCCATAATAAGGACTTACATTGTTACCTGTGTCCATATGAAAAGACTGAATATGGAATATCTATTCTTCGTTTAAAATATTTAAAACTAGCTTTTACCCGCGGCTTCGCTCGCATCACAAAAGGATAAAAAGTAGCCTATGTGACATATTCCAAAACATACAGCGCCATCTATACCAATACTTTTGTTTTTCCTCGGGAATATCAAATTTTTCCGGGATGAAAAGTACCCTATTATTTAATCCGGACTTCTAACTTTACGTCTGCAAAATTTCAAAGCAATCGGTTTAGTAGTTACGGCGTGAAAGTGGAACAAATATACAAACAAAGAAACTCACTTTCCGATTTATAATATTAGTAAGGATTGTTTTACAGAACTACTATGGAGCAGCTAAAGCGATCCTGTCCGACAATCCATTGGGACTGACATGTGGCATGGTGTGCCCTACTAGCGACCTCTGTGTGGGAGGATGCAACCTCCACGCTACTGAAGAAGGAGCTATCAACATCGGTGGACTACAGCATTTTGCTGTCGATGTAAGTTTCTAGGCTGCCTCGTTGGCCGAGTGGTCGCAAGTGCGACTGCCGGGCAAAAGGTCTCGGGTTCGATTCCCGGGTCGGGCAAAGTATAACTAGGTTTTAAAACAAAACTCTCAGTAGTAGCACGGAGTCTGGAATTGTGCCCGGTATATCGCAATAGGCTCACCCCCTATTACATGGGACTCATAACATAAATAGTGAAAAGTGGGTGTTACATTGTATAGTGGCATAATGTGCACCTTTACCTACCTCTTCGAGGATAAAAGGCGTGATGTAATGTAAGTTTCTACTTAGTAGAGTTAGTGAGGATACAGACCTTTGCTCAGTCACTTCTAAAATGCCAACCAAATGCTAAATCTAAAGGACATTTGGATAACCACATCAGTATTCTATATCCATAACAAATCTACTTTAAAACTCCACCTAACTTTAACCAACATAATTCCAGGTATTCATGAAGATGGGTATCCCTCAAACCTTGAATCCTAAGACCAAACCTCTCCCCAAAGGTGGTGATCAGAAGATCGCCTTAGTTGGCGGTGGACCCGCTAGTATTAGCTGCGCTTGCTTCCTAGCCAGGCTTGGGTATAAGAACATTACTGTGTACGAGAAGGAACAGTACTTGGGTGGATTGAGGTATGTATTGTTTCTTGATAATATCGTATGATACTTGTAAAGGGAGTTTTAGCTTAAATTCTTTTTTGATTCGTTTGTTTTTAAGGTGCATGAATCCTACTATAGCAAAACCTGACAGTTTTGAAATGATCTTCAAATACATTCTTTTAACAAGTTTTTTTGTACCTACATACATAACCTCACGCCTGTATTCCAGGCACGCTCAACATTTCTTCCAAGGGACTCACTGATGCAACAATTTAATATAGAAACTATGATTTTTTATGGTCTCGTCCACTGCTGGGCATAGGCCTCTCCAATGGCACGCCATTGGGCTCGATATTCATGTCTACGCATCCAACCACTACCAGCCACTTCAAATATCGTCACCTCACTTAGCTGGAGGGCGCTCTACACCACATTTTCTTCACTCCAGAACACGTCTACCCCAACGGTCATCAGTTTTTCATCAAATGTGACCGGCCCACTGCCATTTCAGCGTGCTAATCCTTTGGGCTATGTCGATAACTTTAAGTCTCTGTCGGATTACCTCGTTACGGATCCTATTCGTCTAAGACTTCGAACCCTTTCCATATGATCATATGCACTCCCATTTAGTTTTATATCTCCTCAAAGCATCATTATCAATAATAATTATGTTTACGTTATTAATAAAATAACATTTCAGTTCATCAGAAATCCCGCAGTACCGTCTTCCATATGACGTGGTGCAGTTTGAAGTGGACCTCGTGAAGAACTTGGGAGTCAAGTTCGAGACTGGCAGGAAACTGTCCACACAGGATATTACTGTTAATGTAAGTACATTACGAATGTCTGTATTTTTTATTTAACCCCTCGAGCGTCCTTATGAGCACCCGGTGGATCATAAGAAAAAGTGCTCCATGCTGCTTTCTCTTTTATAAAATCTATTATTAATGTTTTGTTTTTATTTTGACTGTATTTTTTATTTCTATTGTAATGATCCTTGTTTTTGTGTGCCAATGGCCAAATAAATGCATTTTCTTTCTTTCTTTCTCCAAATGTCACGTGTGCACCCGTTGGATCTTAAGGAACGCGGACGCTTGACGGGTTAAGAGGGGAAAATCATCGAATGACTTCTCCTGCCTGGGTGGGAGGGGGTGTAAGCCTCTTACTGACTAAAAACCACCCCGTTCCTACTTCTACACACCTTGAAATATTAATTTTGATATATAAAAAGTTGGAATTTTATAATAAACCGACTCCGACTTTCTCGGTACATTCTGAAGTCTCTGAAACAAACTCAATAACAATTCTTAATATACCTAAACCTTCTTCTAAGTCTAGCAAATATTTTTCTGAATACCGCATCAATATCGGTTCAGCTAATCGCGCATAAACATACACACAAACATACATACATACATACAGGTCTAAGAACATCCTTCTTTTTCAAAGTCGGTTTAAAAGAATGAAAATGTTCAATTTTTTTTTGTATTTAGTAAAATTGAGTTGATTATATTTCTAATTTAAACTATTTTACTCTTACAGGGTCTTCTAGAAGACGGTCACGCAGCTGTATTCTTGGGAATCGGTCTCCCAGAACCAAAGAACATACCAATATTCAAAGGATTGAACCAGGAGATGGGTTTCTATACCAGCAAGGACTTTCTACCTCTTGTGTCTAAGGGAAGCAAGAGAGGTGTGTATTATTTACGATCTTGATAATGATTTTTGTAGTAGAAACTATCGTTTTTCTTCTCCTCTTATAATATCTTCTGATTCACTTCTTTGCGAAAAACCAAGACAGTTATTCATGTCCCTGTGACGCGTCGGACTTCAGTGTTCCGGTGTTTTCATGGTTGTATCTACTGTAGATCCTGGCTTACAGGAGTTGCAGTGGTTTTGGGAGGTTGTGGCGGGCTTGTCCCAAAAAAAGATTTAATGATTTAATTTGTCATAACCATTGATGTTGAGCACAGTCCTGACACTTGATTGATGAACGTAATAAAATATGGCAATGCAGGCACCGGAACGAGTGAAAATTTGAAAAGGCATTAAAACTTCCTAATTTATAATTCCATTAATTGCTCTTCATATTGTGCCATTAACTTTTGCGTTACTTAAATCTACCTCTGTTAAAAATGTGTCCTGCTGCCTATTTTTATTATGGAATAAGCCGGTAACCGAGCTGGCAGATCACCTGATGGTAAGCAATCGGCGCCGCCCATAGACACATGAAACAGGCGTGACAATTGCGTAACCGGCCTTTCGGGGACTAGGAATTTGAAAATTTTTGGGGATTCGGTGATTGGAGAGATTAGGGATGGGGGTAGTTGGGCCTCCGGTAACTTCACTCACACGACGAAACACAACGCAAGCGTTGTTTCACGTCGGTTTTCTGGGAGGCCATGGTATCACTCCGGTCGAGCCGGCCCATTCGTGCCGAAGCATGACTCCCACACCACCTGTAATCAACAAACTACAAAAATCCTCAGCAGCTGTAGCCAACTGCCATTTAGCGCTTGTCTATATGTAGAATAGAAAACCAAATTATATGGAATTGACCTAAATTTCGACACTTGTCAGTGTCATCCCCATACATTTAGTTTTCTACTCTCTCTGTCGACAAGCGCTAAAGTGGCGTTTGGCTAAAGGCACTGTATTATTAACTTGTCTTCTTTATTTGTAAGGTCTATGTGCCTGCAAATCCCCTTTGCCGTCGTTACACGGCAACGTGATAGTACTGGGCGCCGGCGACACTGCCTTCGACTGCGCTACATCGGCACTGCGCTGCGGCGCCAGGAGAGTCTACGTCGTGTTCAGGAAGGGAGTCACTAACATCAGAGCTGTTCCTGAAGAGGTAATCATTTATATGAGACTTTTTTTTTAAGAAGGGAAAATCATCGAATGACTTCTCCCACCTGGGTGAGGCGGGAGGGAGTGTCAGACTCTTACTGACTAAAATCCACCCCGTTCCTTCTCCTGCACTTCGAGCCGGAGCCCCGGTTACCCGTTACGTTCTCCGCGACATTTATATGAGACTAGCTATTTCCTGCTACTTCGTCCATGTAGAATATGTATTTTAGAACATAACTTTTTTTGTTTCAATTTTCCAAAACAAAAGTAGTCTATGTTACTACTTAGTTCATCAGCTACCTGCAAATAAAAGTCTTGCAAAATCGGTCCAGCCATTCCAGGGAATAACCAGTGCAAACAGACAAAAATTGTAATAAAATATATTTTGGTATGTGTATCGTAATTCGTATGTATATTCATATGCATGTAGTAAAAAGCGGTTATTTTAATATTACAAAGAGACACTCCAATTTTATTTATCTGTTTATATAGATAGGAGTGTTATTTTTATGGCATAAGCCGGTAAACGAGCAGACGGATCACCTGATGGTAAGCAATCGGCGTCGCCCATCGACACCTGGAACACCAGAGGCGTTACAAGTGCGTCACCGGCTTTTTGGGGATTAGGAGTTAGAGGATTGTTGGGGATTCAGGGATTGGGGAGATTGGGGAAGGGGAGGGTAATTGGGCCTCCGCTAACCTCACTCACACGACGAAACACAACGCAAGCGTTGCTTCACGTCGGTTTTCTGTGAAACCGTGGTATCACTCCGGTCGAGCCGGCCCATTCGTGCTGAAGCATGGCTCTCGCACACTTGTAAGTGTAGACGGATCACCTGATGGTAAGCAATAAGTGTCGTCCAATAACGCAAAGTCAGAAGTATTTTAAGTAAGCTGCTGTCCTTTGCAAAGCTAGAGTCACATGTGCATTGCCGTCCTTTTGGATAGAAGGGATATTCGGCCTCGAGTAACCTCATCCACTCAAATGACGAAACACTATGACAGTTTTTGTAGTTAAGTATTGTATATTGCTTTTGTTTTAGTAAAACGGTTTCAATTTTTCTTTAAGGTCGACCTAGCGAAGGAGGAGAAATGCGAGTTCATGCCGTTCATGTCACCGAGAGAAGTTATCGTAAAGAATGGAAAGGTAAGTTCTCATCGACTTAATCAAAATATTCTTAAACGGTTAAGCCTGTGACTGCCGACAGAAAACTGTTGAAGGCAAATCCTCCGCTAACGTAGGTCACCGGTGACCTACGCGGCGGTTCATCATTAACATTTATAGGCTATAAATACCCACTGCTGAGCAAAGCCTCTTCTCACACGGAGAAGGTTTGAGCATTAATCACCACGCTTGCTCAATGCGGGTTGGTGATTACAAACTTACAATTAGAAATTATAAGCCCAGGTTTCCTCACGATGTTTTCCTTCACCGTTTGTCAGTGGTGTCTAAATAAGCTTAGAAAGTACATATAACTCGGAAAAAGTCACATTGGTACTTGCCGTTGGTAGGTTTCGAACCCACATTCTCATGCATGAGAAGCCAGCGTCTTAAACCTCCGGGCCACCACGACATTCAACGCGGCGGTTAACGTGATCTTTCAAGTTATATTTTTATCGAATTTTTGACTAGATTCCTGGCAAAATACTCTTTAGTAGTCATTAGGTACCTAGGTATTAAGTCTGAGACCATAATTGGGTTGGTACTTGCCAACTTTTGTACTTTCGAACTGTCAAAAACGACAGTTTTCTATGAATTTATGTACTAGATTGTATGTTGTGACGTCACGTATTTTTAGCTCCAAAAAACATAAAGTTGCTGGAAAATTACTAAAATTAAGTTGGTCATACCATCAAGTAATGAAAGTGTGATTATTTTTTAATATTCTATTGTATTGAACAGTCGAAATAATTTATTTTTGATTAACGACCCGCCCCGGCTTCGTGCGGGTGCATTATGCATGTATTATACATATAAAACTTCCATAAGAATCACACGATCTATTTAAAAAAACCGCATCAAAATCCGTTGCGTAGTTTTCAAGTTCTAAGCATACATAGGGACAGACACACGGCGGATAGCTACTTGTTTTATACTATGTAGTGATTAAGGTAAGCACCCAATTCCAAAGATCTTTACTTATTCTCTAAAATATGCAGTACTTATTTTTTAATTCCTATTTCATATTCCCAGATTGCAGCCCTAAAGATGTGTCGTACAGAACAGCTAGACAATGGAGAATGGATCGAAGATGAGGACCAGATCATGCAGCTGAAAGCCAACTTCATCATCTCTGCTTTTGGCTCCGGACTTTATGAAGCTGATGGTAGGAGATTTTATCTTAACGTTTAAGGATACTCTGTTGATGCTTAGTAATTGAAAGTAACAGATCGCTCTGTATTCATTCGGATGCCATTCCTCTGTTTCCTATAGTATTATCTTTTTTTTTTTAATCTTTATTTACTTATATATAAATAAATGTATTATTGAGGTTTTTATCCCTTAAGGATAAGCCAACCCCATCGTACATTATTCTAAAGTGAGCACATGACTTAAATAACAGTTTCACATTAGGTACTTATGTATATATCTATGTAGATACTTTAATTACATTAATTGAACACATTAAGTAAATAACTACTTATTACTCTTGGACAAATTACAATCGTTTAGCCGCTTTTGATAGTATTATCTTGTTTTTAAATTTTTCTGGTGCAATTGCAACTTAAAAGGCGTGCTTTGATGCCAGAAAATTACCGGATACCCAATTATCCCCCCCCCCCCATCCCTTTCCCCAATCCGTGAATCCCCAACAATCCTCAAATTCCTAATTCCAAAAGGCCGGTAACGCACTTGTAACGCCTCTGGTGTTCCAGGTGTCCATGGGCGACGCCGATTGCTTACCACCAGGTCATCCGTCCGCTCATTTACCGGCTTATGCCATAAAAAAATCCAAATCTATCTACCATACAAAAAACACATCAAATATGGTCATCATTTTTTAATCTCCAGTGAAAGACGCGATGCAAGGAGTTGCCCTAAACCGGTGGGGATTACCAGAAGTGGATGAGAACACCATGCAGAGCCGGAGCAACCCGAAGGTGTTTGTTGGCGGAGACCTCGCCGGGGTCGCAGAGACCACGGTCGAGTCTGTCAATGATGGGAAGACGGCCGCTTGGTATATGCATTGCTATTTACAGGTTTGTTTTATAATTATGCTATTTTTGTTTGTAAGACTAAACTATTGTTTCAATTTAAGCTGGATATTGGTATTATTTTTCTGTAATATGTAATATATTAATAATGTCGTGGTGGCCCAAAGGTTTAAGACGCCTTCTTCTCATGCATGAGGGTGCGGGTTCGAAACCTACCAACGGCAAGTACCAATGTGACTTTTTCCGAGTTATATGTACTTTCTAAGATTATTTAGACACCACTGACAAACGGTGAAGGAAAAACATCGTGAGGAAACCTGGACTTATAATTTCTAATTATAAGTTTGAAATCGCCAACCCGCATTGAGCAAGCGTGGTGATTAATGCTCTAACCTTCTCCGTGTGAGAAGAGGCTTTGCTCAGCAGTGGGCATTTATAGGCTGTTGATGATGTAATATATTTTAATTTAACTGCCTCCATTCTTAAAACTTGCATCGAAATCTTTGCCAAGCGCTAATTATGATGGTTGTTTTAAAAGAATTTAGTTGTCGACCAAAAACTTAACACGATATATTAAACTAATTGTGAACTAAATTACTAGCTCAACAGCTAATAAATCTTCGTATATACAGTAAGTACATTACGACATATAGTTTGCCTTTACAGACAAGATTACACAGATAACATTAAGATTAAAACAAAACCTGCTTCATTGGCCAAGTGGTCGCAAGTGCCAACTGCCGGGCAAGGGGTCTCGGGTTCGATTCCCGGGTCGGGCAAAGTATTACTGGGTTTGTAAAAACCTTAGTAGCACGGAGTCTAGAAATGTGCCCGGTATATGGCAATAGGCTCACCCCCTATTACATGCGACTCATAACATAAATAATGAAAAGTGGGTGTTACATTGTACAGTGGCATTAAACTGTCAAACACCAAGCGGTCACCGGTGACCGCGACCTATTGTTCTTTAATTGTGTCTATAAAACCGGTACTCGACGAGTTAAGTGTCGTAATGTGCACCTCTGCCTACCCGTTCGGGGATAAAAGGCGTGATGTTATGTGTTAAAACAAAACCGTATATTTTCTTTCCAGGGTCTACCATTTACATCCCCAATAGAGCTACCAAAGTTCCACTGCGCCATAGATGACGTAGATCTATCAGTAGAAGTGTGTGGTATAAAGTTCGAGAACCCGTTCGGTCTGGCCAGTGCCCCGCCCACTACTAGTACTGCTATGATACGGAGGGCCTTTGAACAAGGATGGGGATTCGCTGTTACTAAGACCTTTGGATTGGATAAGGTGGGACTTAGGCTTAAGATTTTTATGCGTCACTGCATGGGTGCCAACTGAAAATCAGTGCTGGGTGACTTGTATGCCTAACTTACACTGAGTGGGTACTCATTTAGCATAGGCATGTGGTTAGCGTCTTTCTCTTTCCTGATTCTTCTGTTTAAATTTTTTAATGTTTTTCTTACTTCCACTGTCACACCTTTATTGTCTTTTTATATTTTACTTATGCCGCATAGTGCCTGGTGCCGAATAAATGTTTTTAATTTCTTTCTTGCTTGTAATAATACTTTGATGCCTCATTGGCCGTGTGGTCGCAAGTGCGACTGCCGGGTAAGGGGTCTCGGGTTCGATTCCCGGGTCGGGCAAAGTATTACTGGATTTTTTTTTTTAAATCTCAGTAGTAGCACGGAGTCTGGAATTGTGCCCGCCGGTCTCGGGTTCGATTCCCGGGTCGGACAAAGTATTACTACGTTTTTTAAAAAAAATCTCAGTAGTAGCATGGAGTCTGGAAGTGTGCCCGGTATATGTCAAATGGCAATAGGCTCACCCCCTATTACATGGGACTCATAACATAAATAGTGAATAGTGAATAGTGGGTGTTACATTGTACAGCGGCATAATGTGCACCTCTGCTTACCCCTTCGAGGATAAAAGGCGTGATGTTATGTTATGTTGTCTTTCTTGTAATAAGTAATTATTTTATAGTTGTTAAAGAATAGTGTGAATAGAGAGAAGATAGATTGTGTGCCAATGATGTGATAAGAAAATGTCTTGTAAGGTAAAATTAAAAGGAGACGTGTTATACTCGAGTAAGGCTTAGGCCGCACTAAGGTCATTTTCCGAAAGCAGTCACCCACTCTAACCGTGAAACAGTAATCAATTATAAACCGTAAAAGATTTAGGTCAAGGTATTTTCAACCCTAAGTCTATCACACTATAATTCATTCAAGGTTGCTTTACACATAAAACTTAAGATTTTATGTATTTTAAGCCGTTTTATTTTTACTAAAGTTTTCTAACGTCCAGTTTTTATAACCTATCTATCTGTAGATTTGCTTACTAGAGATAGAATTTTGACACATCTTGTATGGAGCTCATGTCAAAATTCTATCTCTAGTAAGCAAATCTACACATAGATAGGTTATAAGAAACTGGACGTAAATCACTTTACAGTTGATGAAATCAATGTTTTCCCTACAGGACCTAGTGACGAACGTATCCCCGCGCATAGTCCGCGGCGTGACGTCAGGCGAGCAGTACGGGCCGGGCCAGGGCGCCTTCCTTAACATTGAACTCATCTCCGAGAAGTGCGCCGCGTACTGGTGCCAGAGTATCACTGAACTTAAACGAGACTTCCCAAATAAGGTCAGTATTATTAGAATAATTTTGTAATATATTTTTCGCCACCCCTTTTTTTCGTCATAGACGTCGTAAGAGCCCACCAAGTGTGGAAAAGCCATGCTTCGGCACGAATAGGCCGGCTCGACCGAAGTGATACCACGGCCGAGCAGAAAACCGACGTGAAACAATGCAAGCATTGTTTCACGTCGTCTGAGTCAGGTTACCGGAGGCCCAATTACCCCCCTCCCCAACCTCCCTAATCCCCGAATCCCCGACATTCCGATTCCTAACCCCCAAAAGGTAGGTAACGCACATGTAACACATGTCATGTCATGTACATGTCTATCCACGGCTGACATCGATTGCTTACCATCAGATGATCCGTCTGTTCGTTTACCGGCTTATCCCATAAAAAAACAAGTGACTACCCCTTACTTACTTAACAAGAGACTGAGAAGCAAATTCCTTAAAAGTATTGTCCGGTTAAGTAGTCAACATCTTTAACGTGCTGAACTGAACGAGTGGTCCAAAAAAGGCTTCCTACACTGCAATCTCCAATCCATCTGCCAAGCGTGGATATTTATAAAGTGGAGATATAACAATTACAAACCCTCATAAACCTACAGGCTTGTGTTACATTGGAGTATGGTCCAGTATAGGATCGTCACGAGTCCCTATTAATGATACCCGCAACACCAAATGAATAGTAATTTATGCGTTTAGTAATATATAGATGTGGTTAATTGTAGTGTGTAACTAGGTATCTTCTTTACTTTATAAAAATAGATTAGATGTATTGTAATAAAAAAATATATGACAAGGGCACGGATCAAGTGTCCGTGGAGAATGATTTGTAAAATTAAAAAAAAAAAACACCAAACGAATTACTAGTGTCGGGTCTTTTAGGAATTAAGGATCTAGTCAGCTCCAGACTGTATTATTGGTTATTTTCTTTTTCGATCACTTTGACTGGATTTTAGTGTTACATTGTTCGCGCACAATCCAAACAGCAAAACTATGTAACTAGAGAATTGTATTGTGAACCTGATTGAAAAAGAGTAACCTATGGAGTTTCTCGCTCGTTCTTCTCATTAGGAATTGACAACTTGGAATGAGCAAATAGCTTCACTTTTAATGTTTTTTTGTTGACGTTCAAAAGTGCCATTCTGGCCTGATTGAAATAAATGATTTTGACTTTGAATTTTGACTTTGATCGCGGATAGGGGATGGGGGATGGGGGGCAGGATTGGGGATCTGTTTTACTTGTTCACACAGCCAAACACTACTCACACGCCGATTTAAAGGGGTTTATCATATGATTGATTGTTGGTGTAATGTTTCCAGGTGGTAATAGCATCAATAATGTGTTCATACAACGAGGAGGACTGGACGGAGCTAGCGCAGATGGCGGAGAAGACAGGAGCCGATGCACTGGAGCTCAACCTGTCCTGTCCGCACGGGATGGGAGAGTCTGGGATGGGACTCGCTTGTGGACAGGTTAGATATTTCTTTTATAAAGATTAAGTCAACTCACTGCGATTGATTTTCGTTTTAATCACCGAAGATTAAAGTTGGGAATCTATTAAAGAAAATCGATTGGAGTAGTTTTACCTACCTACTGGTATCATAAACCGTGCCATAACCATATTACATTGAGCTTTTAATAACTCTCATGGAAAGACAATGGTATCTAACCATCCTTCCGTATCGTAAAATATATACATAATATAACACCATGCCTTTTATTCCCTAAGGGGTAGGCAGAGGTGTACGTTATGCTACTGTTCAATGTAACACCCACTTTTCACTATTTATGTTATGAGTCCCATGTAATAGGGGGTGAGCCTATTGCCATATACCGGGCACAGTTCCAGACTCCGTGCTACCACTGAGATTTTTTTTTAAAACCCAGTAATACTTTGCTCGACCCGGGAATCGAACCCGAGATCCCTTGCCCGGCAGTCGCACTTGCGACCACTCGGCCAACGGTGCAGGCGTAAAATTTCCCTGGTCCAAAGTTTGTTTCAGACTAAAACCTGGGACAAATCTTAAGACTGCCTGACGATACGATAGTTAATTACCAGTCAAAATAACCTTCATTGTACCTACCTCATTCTTCAGGATCCTGTATTAGTGAAAGGAATATCGCAGTGGGTGAGGAAAGCTATCAAGATCCCGTTCTTCGTGAAACTGACTCCCAACATCACTGACATCGTCAGTATTGCTACAGCTGCTTATGAAGGTATGAACTATGGACTTCTATCTTCCTACTTTAATTAGTCTTTTGAAAATATTCCTTTTTGGAAACTGATTTTTTATACATAATACATACTAATAGGTTTTTGATTAGAATTCCTCATACAAATATAAACATTCAAAATTCTGTGTTATCGCTTTGTTATTATATTCATATGCTATTCCAATATCCAGAGGCGTGCCAAGATGATACTCATCATCATTGATGATGACTCATCAATGATAATGCGCTTGTGGAGGCCCGGCTTCAAAGCCTCGAAAACAGGCGTAAGGTTGCAAGCCTTTCAGTCTTCTACCGGATACATTTAGGAGAGCGTGCAGGGGAATTGCACAACTTGATTCCCCCTAGTCCTTTCCATCATCGTACCACAAGACAATCGACGAATCGTCACCGATTCATGGTAGATGTCCCACACGAAGCGCTTCGCATCAAGCTTCCTAGTGCGTACTGCTAAGGAGGAGAATTCTTTGCCAGAGTCTGTATTTTCTGAAGGGTAACCTGGGTGTCTTCAAGGCCCAAGTGAATAGGTTGCTTATGGGTCGACGTGCTCCATCGTAGGCCGCATCATCGCTTACCACCAGGCGAGATAGTGGTCAAACGTCAGTCCCATCTAATGTAAAAAAATGGTTCACTTTATTATATCTATAAGAATATACTGTCTACAGGCGGCGCGAGTGGTGTGTCAGCCATCAACACAGTGTCTGGCCTCATGTCTGTCAGACCTGACGCCACTCCTTGGCCAGCCGTCGGTAAGTTTTTTCTGTTTTTAAATCTTAATAAGTCTATGTACATTTCCTTTGCAAGGTGGAGGGATCGTAGCCATAAAATCTTTGCGCTTGGTGTCTACCAATCTTGAGATTGACTTTGACATCGCAATATGCGCACGCGCATATAACATTTTTAAAACACTGCTATCCGTTTGTCGATGGTTGGTAGTAGTTTAAACTGTCAATTTAGTCCGCGTTGGTACATACATACGCGGACTAAATTGACAGTTTTGTCGATCGTGGAATGAAACAAACGTAATGAATTTATTTATTATCTGTCCATTCTATAACTCCATTTCTTTTATGATACCGAGGTGTTCTACTCCTTACTTTACTTCAAACCCTATTTCCACCAGGTGTAGAGAAGCACACGACTTACGGCGGTGTATCAGGTAACGCGACCCGTCCCATGGGACTGCGCGCAGTGTCCGCCATAGGGAACAAGTTGCCCGGGTTCCCCATACTCGGCATCGGAGGGATCGACTCCGCCGACTCCGCGCTACAGTTCATCATGTGCGGGGCGCCAGTTGTACAGGTAAAGCCATTATTATACAAGTATACGTATATAGATTCACGTTAGTACTTAGATATAGATACATGTCCTCTTTACCTCGGAAGGATATCTAGGTAACCTTTAAACCTTCAAGAAATGTGCGTAGGTAATCCTTTTTAATAGACCGGCCGCAACTCCTATAGTATGGCGAATATCTGTGAGTGGCGTTCACGTCCGTAAAACGGGGTCAATAGAATTCGAGGGGTGAATAGATCTGTATCTATTCACCCCTTGAAATGTTCTAATATTTATTCACCCCATTCACAGGAATCAATATTTATTCAGCTTTCGAATTCTATTCACCCCGTTTTGCGTTACTTATTACCAAGCGATCCATTTAAACTGCTGCTCACTATCCCATTAAAACATAGGTAAACGCAACAAGATAATAATATATGCCTTGAGAAAGTAGGCTAACTATAGGTTACCGGGGCTCCGGCTTGAAGTGCAGGAGAACGAACGGGGTGATTTTTAGTCAGTAAGAGTCTGACACTCCCTCCCGCCTCACCCAGGTGGGAGCGAGCAGTTATTCGATGATTTTCCCTCCTTAAAAAAACCATAAATAGGTAACCCAATAAAATTTTAGCAAATTTGGGAATCGGACAACAAGATAAACAAAATTACCCAGAATAAGCAATGTTCCAAACTTGTCTCTACTTCCAGATTTGCAGTGCCATCCAAAACCAAGATTTCACAGTAGTAGAAGACTACATAACTGGTCTGAAAGCATTGCTTTACTTGAGGTCTAAAGGCCTGGACGGATGGATGGGTCAGTCACCGCCCACCTTCAAACACCAGAAAGGCAAACCCGTTCAAACACTGTACGATGAAAACGGGAAGGTAATTTGAACCTTATTTTGTAGTAATATAGAGATTACTTTAGTTACATACGAATATACCTAAAAATTAAAAATTTAATTCAATCTTATGACTGTAAAATACTCTGCGGTTAAATCGGTAAGGTAATTTGAACCTTATTTTGTAGAAATATAGAGATTCTTTTAGTTACATAGGAATATACCTAAATATTGAATTAAATTTTATGACTGTAAAATACTCTACGACTAACTCAGTAAGGTAATTTGAACCTTGTTGGTAAGAAAATAAAGTTCATTATTCATTTACTGAGTAAAACTAAAACTTAAATCTTATGACCATAAAAATAGAGTACATTATATTATTGAATGTCTTAAATTTACAGGTCTTAGCCCACTTCGGGCCATACAGCAAAAAGCGCGAAGAATTGCTCCACGAAGCTAGACTAAAAGCAGACTTATTGGGTGACAATAAGGTTCAAAGTTACGTGGCAAATGGTGTAGCTAACGGTCATGGGGAAGAGGGTGGTAATGTCCCTAGGATAAAGGACGTACTGGGTGAAGCATTGCCCAGAGTAGGGACTTACAAGCATTTGGACAATACTAAGCAAGTCGTCGCCCTTATTGATGATGTAAGTACCTAGTATATAATTCCTTTAGTTACCTACTGTCTATATTTCACCTTAAGGCCCAACACAGACCGTTCAATGTTTTTCTTCCATCAAATTTATGAAGTTTGTTAGAGAAATTTCATCCTTAGGTATTGACCCTAACAATCAACGCAATAAATGTACGTACAGGTTGCAACTTTTACACATTTTAGTCGATTCGATTACCTAGTGCGGAAAGCAAATTTTTAAAATTGAATGCAGATTTCTTTCTTTACAAAAATAAAGAAATATTTTCTTTTGTAAAATTTTCTATCTTAAGTATTAAGAGTACTTCCCCTTCAGGTGAGATTACAAAATTCCACCCTGTATACTACTATAAGTACTACTTGAGTGAGTGTGAAATAGCTAGTAGCAGTTAACAGTTATAACTAAATAGTGTTACAATTTCCTTACAGTACATTAATAAGGTATAGTTATAATTGCACTTTATTATATTAAACTCTCAGTAGCACGGAGTTTGGAATTGTGCCCGGTATATGGCCATAGGCTCACCCCCTATTACATGGGACTCATAACATAAATAGTGAAAAGTGGGTGTTACATTGTACGGTGGCATTAAGTGCCGTAATGTGCACCTCTTCCTATCCCTTCAGGGATAAAAGGGGTGATGTTATATTTATTTTACATCTGAATTATGTATGTGTGTAAAAAAATTTAGTATTACATTGTTCTCGCACAATCCAAACATCAATACTATGTAACTAGAGAATTGTATTGTGAACCTGATTGAAAAAAAGAGTAACCTATAGAGTTTCTAGCACGTTCTTCTCCATAGAAATCTACACCTTGGAATGAGCAAATTGCTTTTTTTTGTTGGCGTTTAAAAGTGCCTTTCTAGTGTAATTGAAATAAATGTTTTTGACTTTTTTTTTAAATGTATGTATGTTGTATATTTATTTCAGGACATGTGCATAAACTGCGGTAAATGCTACATGGCTTGCGCTGACTCCGGATACCAAGCGATTGAGTGAGTACTTATTGAAATTATTTCTTACTAGCCACTTCCGCGCAATTCCATCCGCTCTGCTCGGCTCCTATTGATCGTAGCGTGATGTTTTATAGCCTATAACCTTCCTCGATAAATGTACTACCCAGCACAAAAATATTTATTTAATCAGTCCAGTAGTTCCTGAGATAATAGTGCAATAGACTAGTTACAATTCCAGGTTAGGTCAGTGTTAATGTTAATTAAACGCAATAACACTACGTAAAATACAGGAATCGATTTTTCTAGAGTAGTATGTATGTGGTTAGATTGCAACTATTTTAACGATGCATCTGACCACCGATACAGGGCGATCGAAAACGAGATCTTTGATCGACTGTTGTCTTGGTGGCCAGAACCTTTAGCCAAACGCCACTTTAGCGCTTGTCTACAGAGAGAGTAGAAATCAAAATGTATGGAGCTGACACTGACAAGTCTAAAAATTTACGTCAATTCCATATAATTTGGTTCTCTATTCTACAAGTAGACAAGCGCTAAATGGCATTTGGCTACAGCTGCTGGAGGCTTAACTCTTTCAGTCTCACTTTAATTATACTGAAATGCTTAAAAAACAAAGCAATAAATTTGAAGCATAGGTAAATCAAAAATTGAATTTCAAAGATAAGTTGGTTAGCTACAGTGACCACTATGACTGAAAGAATTAAGAAGCCCGCTTCTCATGCATGAGAGGCGTGGTCGAAACCTACCAACGTGCCAACGGCAAGTACCAATGTGACTTTCAGAGTTATATGTACTTTCTAAGATCCTCTAAACACCACTGGCGAACGGTGAAAGAAAACATCGTGAGGAAACCTGGATTTATCATTTCTAATTATAAGTTTGAAATCGCCAACCCACATTGAGCAACCGTGGTGATTCATGCTCAAACCTTCGCCGTGCGAGAAGAAGCCTTTGGTGGCTACTTATACCTAGTTTAGTCAGCAGTGGCTATTTACAGGCTGTTGATGTTGCTATTTGTCTGGACTTTAAAAGAGACTGAGTTTGTTACGGCATTTCTTCTCAGAGTAGTCAGTTAAGAAATGTCCGCCTCATCGTTCGCTTAATAAGATTGACGTATAAAAGTGCTGCCTTGGAGTACATTTGCTTATTTGCAGAAATAAATTCACTTGTTTCTCTTGATGATGTGATCGACAATTGTACACGTTACTACACAACCATCGAGGCATTCATGAACGAAGGAATCTTTGTTAATTTTGTTATTTTAGAGATAATAGTGATTACAGTATAGGCAGGACTTTATCATTAGTTATTTCCTTTGACGATAAGAGGATATAGTTTGTTGCCTTCCAGGAACCCAAGACCCTTGAATAATCGCTTTAGTATGTACTAATCGAGCAACGAAATAATCATAAATCAATTATCTAGGAAATATTTTTTAGAAGAGACTGTGCTGTGATCTACTGGTTTCAGTGTTTCTTCTCAGAGTAGTCAGATAGGAAATGCCAACTGACAACTCCATCTAATTTAGTTTATGTTAAAATAGTAACGTGAAAAAATGCTATCTTAAAACGTATTTAAATATTTTTTATTTATTTCCAGCTTCGATCCCGAGACCCACATACCGCATGTAACAGATGACTGCACTGGTTGCACTCTCTGTCTGTCCGTGTGTCCCATCATCGATTGTATATCGTGAGTACTTTATTTATTGTAGTAAAATAGATCTTAAGACCTAAGTGTTGAGATTTTAAATCGTTTGTTTGCAAGTTTTGAAGGAAGTTACGTTGATTACTCAAGTTATAACCAATAAGCTTATGGCTTAATTCTTAAATGTGTATTCAAGGTTTTAATGTTAGTTTTTTTATTTTCCAGAATGGTCCCCAAAACAATTCCTCATGTCATCAAGAGGGGTATCCGCTACGACATCCTTCCAGTCTCACCTCTAGACGGTGTTTGCCAATAATAAACAAAACAATTTACATCAAAATGTATATTTTCGTAATAAAACAATACAAAAAATATCAATCTCCATTAATAACTTTGTCATATATACTATCGGCACTACTTTTGGCATATTCCCAAGAGTACACCCAAGTATTATCAGGATTTACCTCTAAAGTTAAAGCTGACAGTGGCTTAGGACAATCGTAGTGACTCTTATTCACAATATGTACTCCTATCTGACCATTAATTTTATCATGCAATCTCTCACAAATAAAACATTCGAATTTATCGATAATTTTCACACCATCGTACTGATAAGGTCTATAGCTATGCTCATCCAATAATCTCTGATTTGTAATTAACTGTTTCGTCTTATGTTCTAAATATTCTTCGTACAACCTATCATTATGCATCAACACCTGAATGTGTTCAAACAATTTCTTTGGTGTAGGGTAATCTTCTAATAATATCGCAGAGTTTTTATTTGGTAACCAATCTTTGATAGTTGGGGAACCGAAATATATGGGGACGGAACCTACTTTAATGGCACGCCACAACTTTTCAGTTACGTAATCGTTACAAACACCATTCTCTATCGCTATCACAAATTTGTACCTCGCAATGAACGCCAAGAATTCATCTTCATTCAAATTATTCAAGTAGTCATCCTTGAATTTCGGTGGCATTTCTTTATTATACAAACAGCTGCCGTAAGAATCTACTTTTATAAACTTCATTAGTTCTTTAACATATGCATCTCTCTCTGTAGATGTTTCACAATCACTTTGTAAGTACATAATTGGGGCAATTTCATTTAATAATTCATTTTTCTTGCTTGTCTCTATAAAGTACTTCTTGCTTCTTATATCTTCAAATGAGTCTATATGTTGCAATGGATAAGGGACATCACTGAATCTGCTAAATGTAGCGGAAAAATTAAATAAACTTAATGCCTTTTCATGTAACAATTCCTCCACATTTCTTGGGGATTCCTCATGAAATAAACCCCAGATTATATCTTTAGGCTGTCTTGGTAAAGGAAGACTCTTAAAATCTATTGTGCTTGCATAGAATAAGTATGCTCCTACATTGTAATATAGCTGCATAGCCTCGTCATTTTTGCCATAAATGTTGCATTTTACACCATTGGAGCAATATTTAATACTTGATGTGCCATGAAAGTCCATGTTCCACCAGACTATTACAGGATACTTGGAATCTATTTTAATTTCACTTATAGTTTTCACATCACTGAACATCCAAAGTGTAACAAGGGACACTGTAAAAATACACACAACCCACAATAGCACACGCAGCCGCACTCTCATAATTTTGTTCAATAAAATGGCTAACATTTGTATAGTATAAGAAACAATAGTCCATGTACAGTGCTTTACTCTTTTCCACATTATTTGATTATGGCACATTGGTTACCCCTCTTTATCATAATTTGTCATACACCCACACATGTGTAGGAATACAGGATATAGCTGGCCAACATTATCAGTACTTGTAGTTCATAATGTTAAAATAATACAATAGTACAGATAACAAAAAATTTAATTTACAATCAAAAAGTGAAGCCTCTCTCTTGACGCATGTAGAATAAATCCAAAGAGAATGCTATTATTAAATCTGCATAAAACAATCCATATAAGGCTCCTATCAGTTTACCAATAATAAATAGATTAATAAGTGCCAATATGGTTAAAAAAAGCTCAATGACGACGTAATAAAACTCTGCCTCATATTGTACTTGGTCCACAATATAGAGCACCATTAAGAGTGTGGAACAAATGACAGTGGGCCCCGCCACCAAGCAATGTAACAGGTCCAGAGGCTCCACAACGTGAGGCAGTATATTGAGGAGCAGTGCCACTACCTAAAAGTAAGAGACGGACCCACTTGTAAACTTCTTTAGATAAATAATCTAATAACATAAATATCACAAAATGGGTATTATTGCATTTCTACTTTTGAGTTCTTACAGTTCTAGTCATATTGTATTAACCTGTTACTTTTAGAGAGGTGTCATTTTAAAGCTCAAATCTACTCAATAATACGAATTGACATGCTTGCTAAAGCATTTTATTCAACTTTTAACATTCAATCACTTCCGAATAATGCAAATCCTCTCTCTTTTACGACCAAGAACAGATCTATGCTCAGTGCAATGAGTAGGTGACAATAGAATAGGCCGTATAGTGTGCCGCTAGGGCTAGCGTTTAGCACTACAAACATAAATGCTAGTAAATTGAAAAATATTTGTAATATTAAGTATAGTTGTTCGGCCAGATCATGCACTTGGTCCACTAAGTATAGCACGGCGAACACAATCGCCAAGACGAGGGTCGGAGCAACGGCCAGGCAGTGAAAGATGACAGGCTCCGTCAAAACAAACGGGATAATCATGAGGACCATTGATATAACCTAAAAGTAACAATTTTCATGACACTCTTTGCCTTCATTTTTTGTGACTTACCTATTTATTGAAGCGAAATTGTTTAGCGATCCTTAATTTTAGATTTTAATTATAATATATGTAATTTTTGTAGTGCATTTTTAAGCTGTTGTAGTACATTATACAAAACAAAACAACTGAGGCCCTGATTATTCGTTTGCGACGAAGGCGAAACATAGATCATGTCACTATGTTTATTTTTAAGTGCAATTAAAAACATTAGTGATCTTTACGTTATTCATACAATATTTATTAGTATTTGCAGTTAACAACTATCTAGTTCAATCAGTACACAGTGTTGTGTTGTTATTATTACTTGTCAAAGTCACATTACGTTAATGTTATGATTATGACAGATGACGCAGAGTGACATTAGTATGTGTGTGTGTGTGTGTTTGTGATTGTGACAATTGTATTGTACTTTATTTTTAATTTAGGGTTGTCTAATTCGTGTGTGTGATTAATAATAAATATTCAGATGAAATATTCACCAAAGGGCAGTCGCGTGCAGGTCAAGGTTCTAGTATTGTAGCTGTATAAATATTATTCTAATTGATATGACAGAAAATAAAATGTTTTTTTTATTATTATTAGGTTTAATCAAAAGACATATATTCATTCATTCAATATTATATTAAAATGATATTTATGCCTGGTACACGTAAAACTGATAACTTTATTAATTATTATTATGCGCAACTAAAAGTACATCCTCTTTCATTAGCAATCAGAAACAAATCAAGTGTTAATGCACACAATAATGCAAAATAAAATACTCCATAAATTAACCATAGCCAAACTCTAATAAGATTTAATAAAAAACATTGAATGAAAGCACCAAAGGTAAACAAAATTTGAAAAAACAAATACATTTTTTCCATAAATAATGGCACTTTTCTTCGTAAATATAAGATTACAAATAATAGAGATATTACTAATGTAGGACCAGTTGCTATGCAGTACATGTGCCCATGTGGTTTTGGCATTACTAATGGTAATAAAGTAATTACAAGTGAAATCACCTACAAGGAATAAAAGTGTAACGAGTATCAAGGAAATAATAAAATAAATTGTAAAATATTAATTAATTGAGTAATATACTTACGAATTCAACGAGTTTCATAATGAAAATATTATATCTTATTAATTCATTCCATTTTTTGTCGACTGGGACCGAGTCTAAAAAAGGGTAACGGTGATTTATTAGAAAAAAATTGAAACAAGTTGCAAGTACTTATTCAATCTATCCTCAAACATCGCAATATTAATTACGCTGCGACAGAAAACTACATAATTTAAGATCTTAATTTTTAAGCAATTATTTTAGATATAACTTTGTAGGTCAGCATTATTACCATTTATTATCATATCCGACATTTTTGCGTAGTAATATGTATCCTTTGTCCTTTTGAAATAACTTTAACGATGTGTAATTTGTTAATTGTACGGGTTTAACAGTGAATGTTGATAAAAATCATATTTACAAAAATAAATAATTATAAAATAAACCTTTCTAAACAATATTTACGAAAATATGATAGACATTTGTCAAATCCAATTTCGTTTATAATTTCAAGATGCCATTTTTTGCCAGAAATTCATAAAATTCTTTCAGTATCTGAGGTTTTATGTAGGTATGCTAAATCAATAATTTTCATTATTTGTCCGCTAGGTAACACTAGTAGCGGCTTGCCCGCTTGCCCGTCAAAAATAGTAGAATTTGTAATTTTAATAACTGCAACTCAACTTTGTAGTCTATGACTAACGCAAGGAGTTTAGAGTTTTAATATCATCTGTACTGTCAATCACATTTCATTTACAAAGTGGCGTTTACTGTACCTACGACTAAAACTGTAGCGTTGTGGTGTTTGTAAATTACGTAAAGTTACGGTCATGTTATAGTTTCAATACACTAAATAAATATGATTAAAACAGAAGAAGAAGATCCTGTCGTGCAGGAGGTGAATAATAGTTTTTTAATCAATTACAACGTGGTAGATAGTTGATCACGAGGTTATGTTATTGTGTGAAAAAAGTTATCTTTTGGTAATGTTTTCTTTATTTTTCGTTGCAGATCCCTGTGTTTCTGTCGCAGGCATTAGCACAGAATCTTTACATATATCAATATCCAGTGAGGCCAGCAAATAGGGACTGGAAAGATGTGAAAGTAGTGAATGCGTGTGTTAAGCCCAGGAACAAGATGGTGCGGCTAGAAGTGGGCTTGGACACGTACAGTGATAGGTACTGCTCGTCTAAGGGCGAACAGATCGCGCTTAACACCGATGGTCAACAGGTACGAGTGAGTTCTTCATGTTATGTAGTTATTTGTTCCTCAAATTGTATACATATGCCAAATATGACGATAATTAACCATGTTGTGCATAACAGTGGTGACATACCACTGTTATTACAGCTGATCACTATAAATAACTTCGTATGTTGATTTAGATTCCATGTATCAACCCATAAAGGCACAGATGCTCTATTTTGATACAGTAAAAAAAAATAAGTAGCATTTTGTGTTTATATTGATTATAGAGAAGGACATGTCTTATGTCTGGCATTCTGTTTTGTAACTGTCAATAGATTTGCATTCTATTGCATCAGACAACTAGAGAATCTCGAATTCCATAAAAGGCCTGCAATAAACTTGTAACTGCTTTGGTGTGGATGATCCCTAAACAAATATCTTAATCTAACAATAAAAACATTAATAGCGCGCCGTCAGAGCTATCTACAATCTAGGTCGTCGCGATTCAATTCCATGTGAATTTATTTATGAAAACATCATGTATGTTAGGAAAAACCTACAGTTATTTTTATTTTTTGGTAAAGTGCCGGACAGACACCACTATCAAACTAGACATGGTAATAGATTAAGTCAACCAATTTCGAGATTGACGAAAGTAAGTAAGTCGTTCATGGGATTCTGTATTAAATGTTATAATAAGATACCAGGCGACATACAACACCTAAATGAATCAAAATTTAAATTATGTATAAAGAAAACTTTATGTAGACAAGCATATTACAAACTTAATGATTATATAGTTGATAAAAATGCTTGGATACAGGCTAGTCCGGCTCCACAGGACAACAAAAAACACTGATGTTTTAATGAAATTGTAAATAATACAGCCATTTTGCTAAATTGTATATTGTTTAACTTACATAACCATTGTGAATGTGAGAGCCCTGTAATTAACTTATTATTAAATTAGACTAGTAGAATGCATTTGTGTCAGCGTGGAGTTGTCATGCTCACTCAAAGGTCTCATTGGCGGTGGCGCGTGCAGTGGATCGCTCGATTCCCTACAATATGGTTGATTTGGGCGGTGCTGGTGTATGTGTCATGTTTGTGAACGGGCGCCGTCAACTGGGACTGGTCAGCTCCAGACTGTATTATTTATTGTCTTTAAGGTTATTTTCTTTTTCAATCACTTTGACTAGATTTTAGTGTTACATTGTTCTCGCACAAACCAAACAGCAAACTATGTAACTAGAGAATTGTATTGTGAACCTGATTGAAAAAGAGTAACCTATGGAGTTTCTTGCTCGTTCTTCTCCATAGGAATCTACACCTTGGAATGAGCAAATAGCTTCACTTCTAATTTTATTGTTGACGTTCAAAAGTGCCTTTCTGGTCTAATTGAAATAAATGATTTTGACTTTGACTTTGAATAAATACTTTTGTTTTTTTTTTTCATTTGCATTACAAAAAAGTTTTATGTCATAGGAATCATCTTGGCACATCAAGGAGAAGGACAAGTCTCAATACTTCAAGCATGGAGTTATGGATAAGATTGTCTATGAGAGCAGTGCACCTGGCACTGAGACACAGCACTATGCAGTAGCCATTTTGCAAGATAAAGAATTGCACTGCACACCAATACAAGGTATGTGGTACTTTTTGGGAAGTTAACTCGTCGAGTACCGGTTTTATAGACACAATTAAAGAACAATAGCTCGCAGTCACCGGTGACCGCTTGGTGTTTGACAGTTTAATAGACAGTATGTAATTACAGAATTAAATACTATGTTTCCTTTTGGACATAAATATGGCATACTATAGAAAAGCACCTTTACAATACCTGAAAAAATCGAATGTACAAAACCATTTTACAAACAAGAGAAAGACAGAAAATACAATTGGTAAACAAACAAAATAGGACACAAAAGATATTTTATCATTTAATCTTCAAATAGGTCAAAATTCTCAAAAGGCTGACAGCATTGTTACATTTTATTGTTATTTCTAGTTTTCAAGGTTGGCTCATTCTCTGAAAAAAGAAAAAAAAATGGTTACATCTTTTGTTCAAAGAACTAGCTAGCTCTAGTCAAATAAGGACTCAACTAATCTGCAGACAATGACTCAGTTAATTTTTTAAACACAAATAACCTACATTAGTACTTTATTTTTTTGTTAGTTAGACTGCCTTGTTGGCCGAGTGGTCGCAATTGCGACTGCCGAGCAAGGGGTTCAATTCCCTGGTCGGGCAAAGTATTACTGGGTTTTTAAAAAAATCTCAGTAGTAGCACGGAGTCTGGAACTGTGCCCGGTATATGGCAATAGGCTCACCCCCTATAACATGGGACTCATAACATAAATAGTGAAAAGTGGGTGTTACATTGTACAGTGGTATAATGTGCACCTCTGCCTACCCCTTCGAGGACAAAAGGCGTGATGTTATGTGTTTTTTTTAGTTTTAATAATTAATTATAGATAATTCAATTTTTTACCATATAGTCTGCTTTAAAACCTATCATAGGTTTCCTGTGTGTTTACAATGTTCCTTCAGTTCCTAGGTCCTACCAGCTTACTATCATTAGGAACTAGGAAAATGTAGCATAAGCTAAGTTTTGCTAATGGAATGTGTTGCCTTGTTTGCAGGAATCATCCAAATGCGGCCTTCATATTCCTACTATGACAAGCAAGACAAGAGAAAAACTGATAAAAACAAAGCTGATTCTGAAGATGAAGAAAAAGAACCTGAAGCCCAGCAGGTAATTAAAATTAATTATTTTTAATAAAATCACTAGCTTCACCACTATAAATATGTACTGTAACTGCACTATAAGTAACTAATGCTGGAATACTGAAACGTTACTCAATTTTAAGTCATGCTTAAACATCATGCCATCTCTGTCATTTTACAAAGAATTTGTAGAGACAGAACTATACTTAAATGCGACTTAAAATTGAGTAACGTTTCAGTATTCCGGCGTAAATGCTCTAGTTATTTTTCACGTAGTAGACTGCCTTATTCATCTAGTGGTCATATTTGCCATGGGTATATATGGTTGGTTTCCTGGCAATCTTTATTGGGTTTTTCTGTTTTTGAAATTCTTGGTAATAGTATGGAGTTGGTTGTGCCACATGCGGTGCTATTGCCCTCTAGTTTTTTCTTGTGTAGGGATTAGTGGTGTTTATAAATACATAATTTTATAATAATTTTATTTATTTATAATATTTTTTATTACAGGTTACGGTCAAATTTGCGCGCCAGGAAACTGAAGTATCTAAGAAGGCCAAAGAGAAGTCGTATGAGACTATCGCACAGCGCATCAATGAAGAACCGTGGTTCGATGCTCTCTGGAAAAGTTCCGAAACTGATCATGCTGAGGTATGTTAACTAAAATTCTGTCTTCATTGGTGCTTTTCCAACATTACCAATGTAAATATTTCTTTGGTTTTTATCAAAGAAATGTAAAACCTGGTTTTATCTGATTAGGTGCAGTCATTTAGATGTTATGGGTGAACAAAATGTTTTATTGATTCCTATTTAAACATTTTAGAAAAACAAAACATACAGATAGACATTTTCCTTTATAAATAATATATTTAACATCTCAGTATTCAGAAATGTGTAGCAAAATATAATATTTCTGTTTGCAGTTGGAGCGATTGAAGCTATTCAGTGCTACTTCATCAGACGGGTCGGCATTAACGGTACGTGCGAAGGAGTACGTGCGCGCGTTAGTACCGGCTCCACCTGAAGATGAGGCCGACATAGCGCCCACTAAGCGACCTTCACCGCACGAACAAATTAAGGAAATATTGATGAGAGGTATGTGATCATAGTTTAATTGTAATTTATTCAATGAAATGTATACTATAATAGATAATTTTGAAGTACGTACGAAAAAAACTGCTGTATTTTGATAAAATTAATTTATGATCACTCTATGCAATTTGTAGTGAGATCTAAACACCAACTGACGCTCAATCAAATGTAATGAATTTTATGTAAACTCTTATCATGAAAATTGGGAGTGTGTACTGTCTTGTTTTTCATTTTGAGAGATCTTGTTTTTAGAAGAGTACTTAACAATTTCATTGTTAATTTCCAGCAAAATTGATGACATTCAACGACCTCCGGTCCTTGGTCCGCACGGAGGAAGGTCCCCTGACGCCGGCGGCGCTGCTGTCGGCGCTGAGTGGCGCGGCGTGCTGCGTGCGCGGGCTGTGGGCGGCGCGCTCCGCCGACCTGTACACGCGCGCACTGCCTGTACCCGCGAGATTACTCTGTGCTGCCAGGGACCATGTCGTATGTATCAGACACATATTATTTTAAAAGATTACTGAAACTCACTTTTGCGATTCCTGTGGAAATTGATCACGAAGATGAAACCCCAGGAAGCTAGTTTTTCCATAATACTTTGTATCTTGTGCTACCTAACCTACTACTAAAATAAAGATACGTGAAGTAAAGTATATCTACTTATGATTTGATAAATATAATCAATTTAATGTTATAAAAATTAAATCTACATTATTTTCGTTTGGTAATGATTTCAAATTATTTCATTGTATATTTCTTTTTTTCAGTTGTATCTCTTCACTCAACATTCCTACATCGACCGACGGAAGGTAGCTGCGGCAGTTCGTCTGCCCCCTGCAGAGGTGTTAGAAATTATCCGCTCAGTAGCGAAGTTCAATCCTAACACTGGCTGGGAGCTGATTATACCACCTGACCTCGCGTTCGAAGCTAAATACCCAGAAGTTGTACAAAGACAGAACTTGTACTGGGAAGCTCGACAGAGGATGTTCAATGAAATGTTGATTGGAGAAAACATACCCAAAAGGCAAAGAAAGAAATCTCAAAGAGATTCAGTTTCATCCGACACAATGATGAGTCCGAAACCTCGCTGCAACAGTGTGACTGAAGAAGAAAGTGATAAAAAGAGACACAAAAATAAATCTGCCACTGGCAGTGGTAAAAGGACTAGGAACACAAGTTCCAGCAGTGTGCAGGATGCGACGTGATTCTCTTCATAGTTAGGTTATCAAATTGTAGTGTAGTCACCCACCAGCTTAGTGATTGTAAGTGAACTGTGAGCCTAAGCTAACTTGTTGTTGTACATTGTAAACATTTTGGTGCTGCTAATCAACGTGTGTATGCGACATAACAGTTTATCAATGGACTTCCAAACATTTTCAGTTAATTGCAAATAGAAAATATCTTTTATAATATCTGTAAAAAATAAACCTTTTGAAGCTGTGGAATGTTTAGTACTGAACTCTAATCATAATTTATTTGTAAAAATTTTAAAACATTGTAATTTTAACCTTTAATTGCTTTATTTCTTATTTCTTGTTTGTATTTAAATTCCTGTACTAATATGCTATTTATTTTCTCATTTAGTTTCTATCACACTTCTTTGCATAATTATGCACTTGTTTATTAATCTTAGTTGAATGTTTGTTGACTAGAGAATCTGAGTTGAATGTTTTAGCTTTGTTGAGTTTCAGAGAGTTCATGATCTACGTGATATTTTTACAAATAATATTTAATATACGTCAAGATTTGAATGTTATTGTGTTAATATTCTTGTAACGTAGTTACATGCATCGTGAAGAGAATCTGGACTCGGTTCCATTGATTACTCCAAACTAAGCATAAAATAATTTAATTATGTTGATAACTAGTGGACTGTATTTTATGAAATAATGTTATGTTATAAATAGTGGCATATGTTATACCTATTACTGCATGGCAGTTTGAAAGTCTAGTTAAATAATATAGGTAATGACTAGCTTATTTTTAATATTGAAATCTGGTAGTGAATCAACATGAAATATCCATTTAATATGCAAAGGAAATGTGCCTATATGATGTCTCTGAATAGTTCGTGGAATCTAAGATTAAAATAATGTTATTAGCAATAATTGTATATTCTATTTTACCATCACAAAACACTGTATGACTAGAGCTTGGTTTCTAAAATTATATTATAAATCTACTGTTGACTTGTACTCAGTTTATCTGATTATGCTGAAATGAAATGTATTCGGATAAATCAGTTGTTAAAAGTATCGCGTCCGAGACAAGCTTTTACACGGCGCTTATGATTTATATCGAAATGTAGTCTAAGTAAGAAATGTTTTAGGTTTAAGTTGATTATTTTTTCTCCAAATGTACTGATTTTTGAAAGCAATATGTGTCTCCTTTATTTTATTTACTCTAGTAAAAGCTTGTTTTGGCCAAAATAATACCATTGGCACATTTTTTTTAATGTAACTTCCGTTTATCCTGTGTGAGTGCTTAATATCCTTAGAAGTACCTACTGAAGTTCACATTTTATTAAAATAGCTATCTTACTAGGTGAAAAATGGTCAATATATTGCATTTGTATATAATTGTCGTTTGTATGCTATCATAATGTAAAATTGTGTATGAGCAATTGTGATTTTATCGATAAGTTGTTAATTTTGTAAACGAAATAAAAGAAATGATTATTATTTATTTTGTTTTATTTTTTCAGTCTTTATCCAAATGGCTTGTAAGTACAGCCAGAGGGTACTAAATAATTTTCAGTGATAGGATAACCTTCCCCTATACTTATCATACTCTTTGGAGTAACCTACGACTGGTTTTATTCTAGACTGCTTGAAAATATTGCAATATCTCCAAATCTAGAGGTACGCATAGTGGGCTCTTACATGGTCTCACAGTAGTGACGGGATAATTTATGGCCCCATTTCACCCCAAGGTCATTTCCACCCCAAGGTCATTTGCACCCCATCTGTCAATCAGTAAAAATGTTTTTGTGGTGTTTCGGGTATTGGGGGTGACTAAATTGTTCGTCCTTTTTGGATAGGATCTCTAGATTTTGAAATATCGTAAGATTGATCTTTAAGGATTTATATGAATAGGTAGGTAAATATCTTAAGAAAATAAAATCACAGAATCTAGTTTAAAACGTTTAATTTCAACTATTAGATAGTTCTATTTGGTGCGAGTTACAACAACAACAATATTATTATATTCTCAAACGTCAACATTAGGTAAGCGTTAACTTATAAAGTAACAACTTTTGTAAATACATAATTGTGCTTAATGATTAGTTCTTAGTATGAAACGATAAAATAGATAAATAAATAAATAATTATGTAAAATTAATAGAAAAATACATCTAGGTAATATCCATAATCCATGACAAGTATTGATAAGCCAAAAAGGCCTATTTAAATGCACAACTGAAAAATCAGCAGGTAGTTCTAGATTACACAATGTTGCAAAAAATGTTGCTCGTTTAGAACTTTTATAAGTACATACTTTCAAAATACAGTACAACAATACTGACACATAATTAATTAATTAATAATAGAAATATAAATTAGATTTTTATAAAAAGCGTGCGTTACATTTTTGATTCTATTATTCTTCCATATACATTACACACATTTAAAAAACATTACAGTTAAGAAGTTACAGAAAACGTGTATTTACAAAGTAAAACTTAATAAATTGTTATGCGTTATTTTTGTATTTTTAAAATAATATTGTACCATAGAGGTGCGAAAGAGAGGCAAAATTTTAGGTATCGTATTTTTGTATTTTTTGCTAAACAACTGACTTTAAACTTTATGGTTACTTACGCGAAATGGCGCGAGAATGGGCGCGCAATAAAGAGCGTCACCGATGCCCGGTATAACAATGACAATATGTGCGCGAAGCGCGAAGACAACTTCTGAACAGCCATTTTGAAGTTTGCATCGAACAAAACAAATTGTTTTTTTTATAAGGGCTAAGTAATTATTTTCTCAACATGAAAAATAAAGATAATGCCTTCTATTGGTCTTCTGATTATTTAATTACGTTTGTATTTTTTGCTGCTTACAATACATTTTGTAATGTCTGAGTAAATTATACTCTTATTGCTTACATCATCAGATTAGACTTAATTTACTATAATAGCTGTCTCCTTTTATTAGGTAATACAAGAAAGAGACATGTACCGGTAGACGGTTTTGATTTTCAAATTGGGTGTCGGTGTCGCTTAGTTGGATAGCTTCTGTTGCAGCTGAATGACTAATAATATGCACAATATTCTATCGCTATTTCTTTCTTTCCTTAGCTGTTAACGTTAAGAGAAAAAGAGAAAAGCAATTCAAATTACAACCGTTACTCAAGAATGGCGCGCAAACGACTAAATAACAGCAAAATGGAAAACACATTTGACTTTGACCTATTTTCAATATATTTTTTATATCCTGATAATGTAGCTAACTATAAAACCAAGGATAGCAATACTGATGCCAGTTAAACCATTCAAATTGTTACCGGAATTACAAAATTTGAGGTCGCAGTTTTTCGTAAGGTCCCCGTAACGGCTCTTGATGAGTGACCAATCACAGAGCCCGACTCTACAGCCTGGCAAGTTCATTGGTCGCTCGTTCTCTAGGAATAGTACCTGATATTCTTCGTTCACTTGGAAGTTGCCGTTTTGTGTGCATCTGGAAGAACAAAGAAATGTTTTTTTAGTGCGTTATTCTATTATTATACGGAGGTCTTAATGGGTTGCCGGGGCTCCGGCTCGAAGGGCAGAAGTAGCAACGGGGTAGTTTTTAGTAAGTAAGAGTCTGAGTCCCGCCTCACCCAGCCGGGAAAAGTCATTCGAAGGAGGACCCTTAATAAAAAATGATCGTGTTTATGACTTGACTCATGTTATCAAAATGAAGGAAAAAAAGTAATTCTGAACTTTATCTTCAGCTCTAACATGAAGCCCACAGTCATAATTTTTATTATATCGTAAGTCTTAAATCGTAATGCTTATGATGCGCGATGGAGTGTGATCATAAGATCTGTTCAGAACCGACTTTTTTTTTAATTGATTAAGTAACGTGTTCTATCACGTGATATTCGTAATCTGCACATCTTATCCACCTAACCATTTAAATCAATTGTGATTCAAGACCATTTTGCATTAATATGGACAAAAATGCTTAGTAGACACGTCAAAAGAGCAATTTGAGAGATGGCATGATAAAAAAAGGTTAAGACGAGCGGCCACACACAGCACAGAAATTTATAATATCTATGGGTCACAGTCTAGTCTACCCGAGCGAGGGAGGCAAAGAGTATAATAAGTAGGAGGGCTAAAGAATTAAACTGAGGCTTCTTTTCTAGGAACGCCTATGAATTCTATTGTGTTTGAGCGCCTACGTTTTCTAGCTGAGTCAAACTTTGTAGTCTATGTTCCTAGGTATCATTGCATTGTTAATATTTGTGGTAAAGCGAATCATCACTCATCAAGTCATCATGCTTGGTAGGTAAGTACCTTACTACTCAGTCAATGATTCTGATTCATCATCGGGTGGTAGGATAGGTAGTAGGTAAGTAATTAGACTTTTACCATTAAAATTATTGTTATTTAAACTAAAGGTATGACTATTGTATTGTAATAATGTTATTGTTAATTCTGTTTCAACTACTCTGCACTATTACTTTGGTTAAGTGGTTTGTGGTCGTAAACAGAGAACTGTAAAGTAGAAGTGACTTTAAGGTTTAAAAAAGTGAAAAATAGGAAGGTATTGAAAAATACTATAGGTAAGTATTATCGGCAAAGTTTACGGTAGCATACTTTTTAAACAAAATCCTATGGCAAATTCTCTATACACCGCCCTGTTTTGCCTGTGGTCGCTCGCCGAGTGCATGTGAATATCACCTAATGATGGTCGGCCAACTTTGTTGATTGTACCTAGTTCATCCTAGGTGTAAATGTAAATTGGTGATACTAGTTATAGTGTTTGAGAGGGTTGCTCGACTTGTTGGGTGCGCATGCTGCTCATGATTATGAGCCCCATTGTAACTTAAAACCAACCGAGCAATGTCCTCGAAAAGCTGAGCTGTCAATTTGTACTTTTGAAGTAAGTTCGATTGCGTTCTTGCCCGTCATTGGTCGAGATTATTCCCCATAACCAATGACGTGGCGGACCGCGATTAAGTTCACTTCGTCTTTCAAATTAAAAGTTACAAAATATGAAAATAGCCTAGCAGCTCATAATTATGAGCTCACATCGTGGCTTGAATTTAATTGAGCAAAGTCCTGGAAGTCCTGGAAAAGTTACATAAGACGTATTAAGAGTTATAAAACTTACTTGTATAGTACAGCAGCTAAGTTAGCATTGAATGGAGTCATGGTAGAAGTGGTCCATTTCCTGGACTGTACCACGGCGGAGTGGTAGTTGTCTCCAGTGAGGGGGGCGGAGTCTTGGTGGGCGCCCATCGCTGTTAGAGTCATCAGCATCATCGCTGCTTCGGTGAGGTGGATCGTCGCGCGAGGGTTTAGAGGCGACTGGTTGTCTGAGAATTGAGATTTTTTTAATTGACTATCCTCTTGTATGTTGAAAGTTATACCGGCGTATAACGTGTTTCAGCAGATAAAAGCCTATTTGGCAAAAAATATTTTTTTTGTGTTCAATCCAATCACCACGGATTGGTTATCTTAAGTAATCTATAGGAATCTTGCATGGGCTATTTGGTTTTTGTTAAGTTATCAAAAACGAAAACCGGTGCATTCTACTAATATTATAAATGCGCAACTTTGTGTGTGTCTGTGTGTGTGTGTGTGTTTGCTTGTTACTCTTTCGCATCAAAACGGCTGACGGGAACGAGGTGACAGGAACATCGGTAGATCATGGTTTGGAGTAACACATATGCTACTTTTTATCCCACGGGAACTTTTTTCCTTTCTTTCTTCTTTCTTTCAGACTCGACTTTTGATTAGAAATACAGAGATAGGTACCTATGGTGTTTAGTTACAAGTAGATACTATAATTGTAATTGTATTATTTACAAAATAATTACTTTAAAAACAGATTTAAGTTCGTATAATGACTTAGTAAATAAATTACTCATAAGTCCAATTAGTACCCATAAGGAAATAGTTGATTGGAATAATAATAAATTATCAAATAACAATAAAAATTACTCATAGACCACACTACTTATGTTACAATAGCTGAGGGCTTAGTATAAGTTTGTTTTACATTAAAAGTAATCGAAACAAAACTACGTTCGGCGCTCCGATTGGCCGGTTGGTATTAACCAACTAATCAGAGAGCTTAATCGAAACGAAACCACGTTCGGCGCTCTGATTGGCTGGCTCCAAGGAAGCAACCAATAAGAACTCCGAATGCGGTCTCGTTTCGATTACTTTTAAAGTCGTACTAAGCCCTCTGAATACCCATAAATAAAATAAGTAGGTACACATGCCGTGTGTACTTACACATGAAGTTATGTGAACCAGTATAAACTGAACGTTTAATATGCTGAAAGATCATATAAAAGCGAGTTCATGATATATACTGGTTGTATAGCTTGTTGTGTTGCCGTGTGTACGTAGTCAGTAAATGAATAGTTTACGTCAATTAAAACACAGGATGTTTACAAGGTTAAAATATTTTTGTCACAATAAAATGGCAGTTTCTCATCACTCGGTCACTCTGCGGATAGTTGATTTAATTAAGTGTGACGTTAGTCACTCATTAGCTTGGTTTCACACACGACATGTCATTTTTTCACGAGTAAAAGAATGTTTGAAGATGAAGATGATATTTTTTTTATGGGATAAGTCGGTAAACTAGCATACGGATCAGGTGATCCGTCGATTGCTTACCATCAGGTGGTAGTACGCAATAACCCTATTGGACCTCCAAATACAATTTAGGTAACTTTTTGACACAAGATGAAGACTTGTCGTAGAAGGGTATAATAATATATCGTAAAAGCCTAATAGGTACCGTAAAATCTTGGTATTAATATCTACTACAGTCCTAAATAAAATCATTTCAAGGTAGACATATATTCACTGGACTTAAGTCGACAGTGGCGCCAATTGGCGGCCAAAAAGACTGAAAGCATATTGTTCGATGCACAAAAATATGAACCCTTTTAAATATTAATAAACTAAGTTCTGCCCGCGACTTCGTACGCGTAATCCCATTTTTTCCCGTCCCCGTTCGTAATTTTCGGTAAAAAGTAAAAAGAAGTATTGGTTTAAAAGTATCCTATGTCCTGGCTCTAAGCTACCTCCCTACCAATTTTCAGCCAAATCTATTCTGCCGTTCTTGAGTTATAAGTGGTGTATTAACACGACTTTCTTTTATATATATATATAGATATCAGTAAAATATTCAAAGTCTACTTACTATTGGTGACATGTTTCTCGAAGAAGGTCATCATATCCTTGACGAAGGTGCATCCAACGTCCTTGTTCATTGGAGACCCGTAGCCGTATCTATAGTACGTATCTAAGTCTTCTGCGTACTCCAGGCGTTTTAGGTCTTCGTTGGTGAAGGCCTGAAAATGCATGGTGAGGAGTTGAGAAGTGTACTATAGTAGGAAAGTATTTGTAGGATAGGCGATAGAAAGAGTTGTAATTAGGATTTATTTCATATACAAAATGATGATGATTAGTGATGATGAAGTCTGTAGGCCCCTATCTAATTAAAAATTGGCTCTATCTTGTAGATCTATCCGGAAAAATGGTGATAAGTATGCCAAAATTCCGGGTTTTGTTAAACCAGTGGTGTTGTAAGATACATCGTTTAAAATGGCTAACATATGCTTAGAAACTATGTATACTCACAGCACACCAAGGCGATATCTTGCTGACATCCCACGCCTTGTTGTAGCGACACATCTCGTAGATGCGGAGAACGATCTCCTTCTGAATATCATAGTTGAAGCCTAGGCGAAGAGAGATGTTACTGATCATCTGCAAAGAACAATATGAAGAAGGTTTTATTCACAGAAATATTAAAAACGTTTTGTTTCCCCATCTTACTTATGTTATAAATCGGAAACTGAGTTTGTTTGTTTGTTTGTTTGTTCCGCTTTCACGACGTAAGTACTAAACCGATTGCTTTGAATTTTTGCAGACGTAAAGTTAGGAGTCCGGATTAATTGATTAAATAATAGGGTACTTTTTATCCCGGAGAATTTGATATTCCCGAGGGAAAACAAAAGTATTGGTATAGATGGCGCTGTGTGTATTGGTATATGTCACATAGGCTACTTTTATCCTTTAGTGACGCGAGCGAAGCCGCGGGTAAATTTAGGTAGGTAGGTACGCACACTTTCCACCAGGTAAGTATTTTTAACTGACTTCAAAAGAAGGAGGTTATTAGTTTCATCTGTACATATGTATGTGCTCGATTCTCACGATTGGCTGAACCAATTTTGGTGTGATTTTCAGAAAAGCGTTTGTTACGCGATTTCGATAAAGCCTTAGACTTAAAAAAAAGAGGGGCTCGAAGTCGGTTTTTTTAAACGTGGTTTATAAAAGACCTATATGAGTCCTATATTTAGAAAGGGAATTACCTAATTTATTATCACAAATGACGCATTATTTCAAGTTCTGTATTATCGAGTAGAATTTCAATAACTGAAAACTATAATGATTGCCTATCCCTATATAATCAGGTAATTCCATCCGATACCTCTTCGAGGGGTAACGGGCTATTTGGTTTAAGCGACATTTTTGCAACTTTACAGGAGAGCCTTTTAAAGTTTGAAATTTCGAAAAAAAATTCGTAACACAAACGCTTCTGCAGTTATTTGAACGGGGTAAATTGCATTGAAATTTAAATTAAATTATCTAGTTGCTGATGCTAATTCTAAATAAAGCGGACCTTTAATTACAAAGATAAATGTCGCTTAATACAATCTGCCCTTTTTTAGAGTCAGGAAAAATGATTTAAGTGACTTCATAACTACAATTGGCTACAAGGGAAAAAAATTAAGCGACAATGCACTCTATTTACAGAGTAAGCTAAAAAATATGAAGTGACGACACCCAAAATTAATAGAAGCAAGCTATTTATCTTAACTACCAATTCAGACTAAAATGAGTGACAGGCTAATTTACTTATGTGACAAATAACATTGAAATTATAACGTTTAATGTTTATGTTTATTTACATCTAAGGCGATTAATGGCTGATAAAACAACCTGGATACATCGCAATCACCGAAAATCTTAGATTTTGAATAAATAAACACAACACAATATCAAAGTATTTATTTAGAGTAATAATTACAGTTTCAATAGGAATATCGATTATATTTCAGCAAAATCAATTAAATTAATGGGTCATTTACTGAAATTGCCGTTTTGTATGAAAAAATTTAAACGATTTTTTCATGTATTTTTTATTTGTATAATCAACGTAATCACCCATGCAATCAATGCATCGTTGCCAACGCAGTGGCAGTTTATTGATGCCCTTCTTCAATCAGCTGGACGGGAAGCAACAAATTCTTCAAATGCATTTTGTACTGCCTCTCGGTTATTAAATTTTTTCCCGCCAAGAAGTTATCCAAATTCTGGAAAAAGAAGTAGTCTGGTGACTGGTGAGTAGGGTGGATGTCGGAGAGCTTCACAACCCCAGTTCTTGTAACGTGGAGGCCGTCTCTTGTGCAGCTTTAGGTCGCGCGTTGTAATGCAGGAGCAATGGAGATTAGCGATTGACCAGTGCTGGTTGGAGATGTGTCAGCTTCTCCATCATTGTGTTCAGTTCTTCACACTACACATCCGTAGTAATGCTCACTCCGTTTGGTAAGAATTTGTGATGAATCAGAATAGCGCGAGCGCTAGACCATCAGTGACCATCACTTTTCTAGGGGTAAGTTTTCGTTTAGGGCATTGTTTAGGTGCTGAACTAGGATTCAACCAACATGCTAAACGCGTGTGGTTATCACACAGATTTCATTTTTCATCGGAGGTGACAATGCAAATCAAAATTCTTTCATTTGTGTGTATATTGAGCAGTGCAGTGCAAGGCACTACTCGATGCATTTTTTTAAGGGTGGAAAATCATCGAATGACTGCTCCCGCCTGGGTGAGGCGGGAAAGAGTGTCAGACTCTTACTGACTAAAAATCACCCCGTTTCTTCTCCTGCACGTCGAGCCGGAGCCCCGGTTACCCGTTAGGTTCTCCGCGTGGTGGTGGTCTGATGGCTCTTTGAGGCGCGCGCGGAACGCGACGCCCGCGCACCACCCATGCTCACCGTCCGCAGGCCCGCGCTTACGGTAACTGGAGATCGTCCCGCGATCCCCGACGCCAGGTGTGTCCTTCGCGATGGCTGGGTTGCGAGAGCCAGCGCTTCGCTGCCTCACGCTTCCCGCCTCCTCCTTAGCTAGCATAACTACTTCGCAAAAGGAGGAGACGGCATCCCAGTCCCCCTCGCACTGCTCGATGCATACTTAGCTCTGTTGATCATTTAGTTTGTGGGACACCCACTTATCAAGCTTTTTTACCTTGCCAATTTGACGTAAATGTACCAATATTGTTTTGACGCTAACGTCGAAAGCTGTTGCTAAATCAGCCGTAGATTGTATGTCATCAACCTCACAATAGCCCTTAAATTGTCATTGTTGCCAAAGTTCATCTTGAAATTAAAGTACTTAGGATTCAATTTCGATGAGCGTTTTACGTAAACACTGGCGGTGTGCGCGCGTCCCGTCTGTCTTCGGCGCACTCTGGAGTGACTGAAGCGCCAGCGCACGATAGTCCAGTTGGATGATAACGATTTTTAACACCAGGGCGATGAAATAAATATGGTATCATATGACATGATTAAATGTACCATATTAAAACTTAGTGATTGAAAGACCGACTCGTATTTCTATGAATACTGGAAAAATGTTTCAATATTCATTATCAATGTTATCGTCTGTATAAAACGACATGCATTTAAAAAAAAATGAGGGTTAAATGGTTTATGACTAAACAAAATATCTAAACGAAAACAGCTATTTGGTTTAAGTAGCACCCTGCGTAGAAAATAGAGGCAGCTAGAAATGTTTAAGAGACGTACCATGACGCATTTGGATGACGGACAAATGTTTTAAGCGACATCACACCGTGTGATTAGTGGGAAGTCAAAATGATTCAAGTTACTTGTTAATAAAAATTAGAAACAAGAAAAACGCTTTAACTCATGTTGACTTAATAATTAGAGATAGGGTGACTGGTTTATGTCTCGGTTATTAATATGATGGTATGGTTCAAGTACATAATTTAATAAAAAATGCGAAATCCATGTCGTTTAATACACTGCCACTTTGGAAACAACATGAAAATAGAATTGTTTTAAACGCCAAAAAAGTGCTCCGATTTTAATGAAACCGGCATCATTCGACGGAGAAAAATTCGCTGATTCCGAATATATATATAACTCAATATCGCCCAAAATGTCGCTTAAACCAAATAGCCCGTTACCCCTCGTATTGTCAGTCGTTCTATTATGACCATTGAAGCAGCAATGAATTTGTTCAAAAGTAATTTGTAATCCGAATCCTACTTATGTACCTCTTCGTAACAACAGTAGGTAATTCGATCCACATAAACACAAAATTGAAAATTAGACCCAATTAGAATTAGAATATTAAAACACATATAAAAAACATTGTTCCGTGAAACTTGAACCTGGGTGCTTAATTAAAGGTACGGCCAAGGTTACGGTCATGCTAAATGCTTGGCTAATTCGTATTCATTTGTACTGGACTAAGGTTTTTGTAATTAGCAAATTGTTAGCAGGATTTATGAAAGAACTCATTTTTTCACATTATGTATTACTTTAATCTGTCAAACACCAAGCGGTCACCGGTGACCGCAACCTATAGGGTAGACGACTAATTTTTATTTTAATGTCCGTCTGGTAGATTATTTAAAAACATTAGACACGTATTTTTTATTTTCTTACGGAAACGAAAAGTTTCGAAGATATATTGATTTGAAATGTCGCGTGACGTCACTTCTCAGTACATTTTATACTGAGAAATGACGTTTTAGCCCCCACTCCTAAACTTTGATTCGTTTTATCTAAGTATTGTTTTATTATACGACAAAATAAAAAAATACGTGTCTAATATTTTTTAATTACCTAACTTATGGACTAATTAGATTTTTAATTTTCATACCCTGTCATCATCCCCATTGTGTCTATAAAACCGGTACTCGACGAGTTAATTGGAGATAAAGGGTAGTCCGTAGGCGTACCTACTCATATTTTTAATATTTCTGTGGCCGCACTTAAATTGCCTAAACGATGGAGTCTTGGTCGTCCAGTCAAACTGACGAGACTATCGGTCAACTATGACTCTTTTGATTGATTACAAAATGTGTAGGAGATTTTAAGTTTTTAGAAATATGTTATTTCATGATTTTCTTCCTATAAGTGTTTGTGTTAACCAGCAGTGTAAAATAATTTGTACCCATTCTCATTCTCTTCCTGCGACTATACATTTGATTAATGTTTCTGTCTTTGTAGGCAAATTTCATTAATAACTTAAACTGTCAAACACCAAGCGGTCACCGGTGACCGCGACCTATTGTTCTTTAATTGTGTCTATAAAACCGGTACTCGACGAGTTAAATTTGAATTTCCACTATGATGATTGTTAAACATAACATAACATCACGCTTTTATCCCCGAAGGGGTAGGCAGAGATGCACCCAGAAGTAACACCCACTTTTCACAATTTATGTTATGAGTCCCATGTAATAGGGGGTGAGCCTATTGCCATATACCGGGCACATTTCCAGGCTCCGTGCTACTGCTGAGATTGTTAAACTCATTGTATTCTTACTTAGACAGCACGGTACTGTTATTTACTGGCCCTTACATTGTACTTGAATGATGTCCATCTTTAATTGTGTAAACGTTAGTCTGTATTTCTATTATTTTCTAATTTTAAATGTTTGTGTTTGTAATGTTGACAAGTTTTAATAAAATAAAAAAATAAAATTTGACAGCGATCGGGCAGCAGCGTGGAGATTTGGACTCGGCTCGTAGTCCAACAACAAAGTACCTATAATAAGTATAGGGGAATCTAACAATGAATGGTCACGTTGATATTGTTATTTGCACCTAGAACTGAATATTTAGTTTTGTTTTCTCTACGTTCTTACCTCTTTAAACTCCAACTTGGATTCGAAGATGTTAAGTTGTGACACCGTGTCATTGTTCTCTCCGACGCTCTTGTTCCAAGCTGGGCAGAACTTGAATGGCTGTAAATTGTCATTTGAACAATCATTAAAGTTGAATGGCTACGTGCGTAATAGTGGATATTTTATAATTTGTAAAGGTTATTTTATTTCTTAAAGACACCCACACTGTCCCAAAAAGATGATGTAGGAATGATTAAGGGATCTTATTAAAAAAAACTATGTTATACTTACTCTATCAGTAATTCACTACATAGTATATAACAAAGTCGCTATCCGCCGTCTGTCTGTCCCTATGTATGCTTAGATCTTTAAAACTACGCAACGGATTTTGATGCGGTTTTTTTTAATAGATAGAGTGATTCTGAAGGAAGGTTTATATGTATAATACATGCATATTGCATATTGCATGCATGCATATTGAAGCCGGTGCGGGTCGCTAGTTCATAAATAAAAAGAAATTAACTCACCCTAAGCAATTTTTCATCATTTTCTTTGGGTATATCGAGGCTCTCTGCTTGGTCTCCGAAAAGACCTTCAGTGAACGACTTGAATGTGTTGCTTGAACGCTGATCATTTACGAACTTGAACTGCAAACGACAAAAAGCACTTAAGACAAAACTCTTAGAGAACAAATTCGCTCAAATATCCCAGATTCTATCAAACACAAGAACAATAAATTATTACAGAAGTCCTACTAACCTACTTCCATTATAAAATCCTATAGAAATAGCTAAAGTTCCATCCAAACAAACAAAGCCACCCATTTAATAAGGAAACGGCACCAATGACGTCACAATCTACCAGGGAGGCATGACTCGCATAGAATATGTGATGTCACTGAAAATATAATGCAACTCCTTGGAACTAATGGTTCATGGAGCTGCTCTGTTGTTAGGTATTTAGGGCAGTTCTATGTCGAGATGCCTGAGTTAACGATCGATGAAATGGGCTTGGAATGACTGTTTTAAACTAAGTTGATGAGCCTTTCCGTAATAGAGATATTTGTTTGAATGCAAAATTGTCTTGAACAGTAGGAGATGCTAGAAAATATATCATTTTTAAGTATGTTGTTTTTCTATGAATTGGTATTGAGATATAAGACAATGATAAGTGAAGAAAATTGATGTCTATGATAATAATGGATGAAAGGGAAGAGCAGAATGGGAACGAGATTTATTGACAAAAATTTTCAACCAATATACCCATAAATATAATGAAGACGTTAATAAGGGAAGTTGTTTTTAATATTTCCGTGAATATAGCCGATAATACGAAGAAAGTAAAAAATACCTTGGTCTATGTTGAAAAAAGGCTGTTGGAATATGAATAAACTAAAGAGAAAGCTGTTAATTGATATTTTTATCTACAAATACGTAAATTAAAGAACCCGCATGATGAGTGTTGCCCCATAAAGTTTAGCTTTAACGCAATAGGCATTAATTTTAACTTTTTTGTTGATACAAATAATTAGGATTGGCTTACGTCGTTTACCCCTTAAATTTAATTTTTTTTTTACTGTTGCTTTATGGCATGGAACATGGAAATGGAGGCATTAGGCCTAATGTCCATGTCACGCCATTTGTCGAATGCATGCAACCTACAAAATTAAATGGTGGATTTAACATCTCTGCTCCGTGGACTGTTTTCATTGTTTCTAAGTTAAAGATACAAGTATTTGTCATTTGTAGGCCGTCTATTGTTATTTGTAAGCTGCAAGCATACGTTAAACGACGTGTCGTGAACAATAAGCCTTATGAATATCAAAAACAATATTACAAGTGCATTACCGATTATGTCCTAAGTTCTGAAGCTATTTATTAAGAGCAAATATTTCGAATCGATTTTCCTCGATCGACTTATAAAAGTTAATAGCATTGTCGGTAGGTGTTATTTTCTTTTTAAACATTCTTTGCAGACCAGCTGTTGTATACACACCAGCATTTGAAGCTTCACCTTCAATACCTAGATCTTCAACCTTATCTTTTAGCAATACAGTTGATTTCTGATCGCAGATTTTTGTCAATTTGGTATAGTTTGTTCTACTGGTGTCCAGTTACGTAACTACCGAGGCATCCGTAGGTTTTATTACCGTTACAGACACACGTCACGTAGTGATACTCGTATCGTTGGCGTTGGGTAATGTCTGTCCCGAATCGGTAATCGAACTGTCGCGGTTTTATGAAAGGATTTCTTTAAGGCAGGAAGTGATAGGTAGTTTGTAATATGGTCAAGTATGGTCGATGTTATGTAAACAATGATTAACAGTATTTTGTGGTTTTCGTTTGGCTTGACTGTTGTGATATTAATGAAGTTGAATGAAGAACAGTTTCAATTCAACGTTTCATTCTAGTTTTTAAAATACTTTTATCATTCGTTTTTCTTAATTTTGCCTCAGAGTTTTATCCATTTTATCACCGAGCTCTTCTCTCAAATTTAAAGAAACCCCGAAGCAAATGAGAACTTTTAAGTGACCCCTAAAGGTACAGGTAAGGGGTTAGTTTAAGTGCTAAGACACGCTAAGTAATTCTCAGTTAAAAGATGGTTTAACGGTTGATGAAGACGGCAATTAAAGTCTTAGATTTGTTTTCTACCCTAGGATATTTTTTTTCTATTCGTTATATGTATAATATTAAGCACTTACCAAATAGTTCTGGCTGTTAGATGTCATAAGTCCAGGGAACCTTTGCTTCCAGGCTTGTGCAAACTGCTGCGTTGTCATATACCCGTCAGAAGTGAGGTCTCCAGCAAACGTCAGGTTATGTCGGTCGTCCCATCGCCATTGTTCCAGTAGGTTGAGATCTGATGAGCACATACGTTGCTGTCGACAAAATTAAATAGGGTTAAAGCTTTTGAGAGTTGTCCAGCCATGATGTTGTTGACTGTATTTTAGTCAAAATTATGAAATGTCAACTTTGTGTTAAAAAGCCTTAGTTGGGGTAGGGGTTAGTTCACTTGTCCTGGTCGTAAAGGTTCAACCGGTCTCCCAGACCCGTCTCACATGGCGACGCTGGTGTGCTCCTGGGTTTTAGTGGGTATGCCGGGCTTCTCCCGGAGAGTCCCACATATCCCTCCCGTCCCCCTACGGGAGGATGATACATAAAGTATTTTCCCAGGGTCAAAAACTTTTTTTTTGACCCTGGGAAAATACTTTTAGGGTTAGTTCACTTTGTTCGGACATTGTGTAATAAGTATTATTAGTATTGCAGGATTTATTTATATCTATCATACATAAAGATACTAGTAGAATAAAAATTGTTTCTCAATGCATGGCGGTCTGTGTCTTCACACCTATTTCTAATAGAAAATCATTTAAATAAAGTTCAACTACTTCTACAACAATCTTTGTAATTTATACCATACATACTTAATGTACTGTATACTTATCTCATACATAAAATGAGTCAGACAGACATCATTGACCCTCAAGGCTAAAAAGTACCAATGAACAAACAAGGTGCTAATAGTGACCTTGAAGGGGCTTCACCTAAAACCGACGATGTAGGTACCAATGTACAACAGTACATTTCCATAGCTTAGACAAACTTCCACTTTTGAAGTAAGGCAAGCAAACTATTGGACTAGCGGACATGTTGGCGAAAACCAAACATAAAACAGACCTATAGTTACTGAATTTTCAACTTTACCGATTTGTGGTAGAGTTGAAAATGTAATGGAGAAATGTGTTAGTTTTGGGTATCTTAATGTGCTGGCGTTGCACATTATTGACATCTTTGGACAATGCTGTTTGCTGTTTAGTTCTGTCGTCTTTCTGCATTTCTGTTGTCATAAAGATGTTTGCACTAAGAAATGTGATGAAATATTTGTTTTAGTAACATAGGTTGTTTAAATAGAAGGTGCTGGGTTGTTTAGGGGAAAAGCCATAAAATTATTCATCAAATTAAAGGTGAAATTCACGGTTATTGTTCTTAAAACACGTGGGTAGAGTAAGATACACCTACTCTTCGGTGTTACAGAGTCCCATTGTTTTATGTGGATATTGCTAAACTTTAAATACCAACCTGCAATCGTACAATTTGAAATCAAAAGCCCCATACCAACCCTAAAGATATTCAAGTTATTAAAGCAAAAACATCAGCGTAAGTTTAAACAATTACCCTCGTCTCTCACATTGCGTTACGAATTGTCTATCATAGAAGCAGACGCCAATATTGATGATTATATCAAGCACCCAAACTACTTGAAAATACTTTAGACTTATTTTTTTATGGTATAAGCCGGTAATCAAGCAGACGGTAATCACCTTATGGTAAGCAATCGGCATCGCCCATGGACTCATGGAACAGCAGAGCCGTTACAAGTGCGTTACCGTCCTTTTGGAAATTAGGATTTTGAGGATTGCTGGGGATTTAGAAATTGTGGAGATTGGGCAAGGGGGGGGGGGGGGGTAATTAGGCCTCCTTTTATGGCATATGCCGTAAACGAGCAGACGGATCACCAGAAGCGTTACAAGTGCGTTACCGGCCTTTTGGGGATTAGGAGTTTGTTGGGGATTCGGGGATTGGGGAGATTGGGGAAGGGGGGACGGAGCTGCGCCTCCGGTAACCTCACTCACACGACGAAACACAACGCAAGCGTTGCTTCACGTCGGTTTTCTGTGAGGCCGTGGTATCATTTCGGTCGAGCCGGACCATTCGTGCCGAAGCATGGCTCTTCTACACTTATTATGGAAATAGTTAGATAAATACTCACATTAGTATTCCTAAAGTTGCCATTTCTGTAGTTGGTGACGATATTGTTTTTGAGGTCCCCTAGTTTCTGCAGTTCCACTACTTCATTCGCCTCAGGTTTGTGAGAGCCATGTCGGTTCAGTAGCCAGAAGGCAATCGGTTGGCAACCTGTAAAAATAGACATTGTATAGTACATTGTTAAAGGAAAAGAAAATTGAAAAGGTATAAAGACGCAAATACGTATACCTCTATCCTATGTTAGTAACCACAGAAAATGTTCGTATTAATGTCTTAGGTCATAGGTCTAACTTAAGACCTTGATCAATAGTTAAATCTTGATGAACGTGTACTACAAAAAGAAAATTGTTTATCAGACATTCTTCAATTTGCTGACCAGCATGAGTTACAACCATTGCATTAACGAGACAGTTTATATTTAAACTAATTTAAAGGAACACATGCCTAAAACGGTGGTCTATTTATAAATGTCTATTACGTCAATACGTCCGGTGTTACTTGTCCTCGTAAAACCATTTAAAAGTACTGTCGGTAAAGTTTACGGGAGTACACTTTTTAAACAAAATCCTGCGGCAAACTCCCTATCTACATACACACCACACTGCTTTCCCTGTAGTCGTTCGCGCCGATTGCTTGCGAATATTGCCAAATGATGGTCGACCGCCAACTTTGTCGCTTGTACATACATCTTCCGCACTCCGTAGCACATTAAAGTATACAAAACCAGTTTATTATGGTATCGTTTTGTATCATCTTTCAGTATATTCGACGGTCAGATTATACTGGTTTTCTACAGCCACGTATCTGTAACCGTGTGTTTATCGGTAACATCCTATGAAGTTCCTAGAAAAAGGTAATGCACTAAGGCCTAAGGAATGGTCCCAGGCAACGCATTAAAGATAATCTATTTTTGATTAGCTTCCATCCATGGCGGTTGATGGTAGGACATATTCCCATGGCCTGTATGGTGTTTTATTTTTGATGTGTAGAGTTCTTATCTGTGCTGATGTCACAGGTAATATGAGATGTTGTTATACTCTTTGGACAAATCATAATTTAAGAGCTCTTTAACATCGCTCTTTAGCGCGACCCTTTGTATGTGAACCGAAATTGTCAGAAGACCTCTAATATTTTTTCAGGAAGTGAAACACGTTAAACGAATTTGGAAGATACCGACAAAAATCGTTTTCTGTGGTTAGAAACACTGCAAAGGTACATTACTACATACCTACATAATCCTGATAACCCCACGCCTGTCTCATACGGAGGTAGGCAAATTGCAACGACTCTTACACACCTCTCTCGCTTCATCAACAGTCAGCAGACTCTTCATGCTTGCCCGTCAGTTAAGGGTACTTTTAATTTAAAATATGACTATCTACTATATCTATTCTGATGAAGTAACGATTAATGATGATTACAAATAACCAATTACATGCTTTCTTGATAAAAGCTTAACACAAAGTCGGGTCGACCTCATAAATAAGATTGATCGACTTATTACCGACCATTTGTCAATCGAGCCCACCTATTAGATCGATATTTGCCACTATTGCTCAACTTAATTTAGATTATTAGTTAGAGCATATAATTGTGTTAAATAGGTCATATTGATAGTAGTAGATGTAGGTCACGTATTGTGATCTATCCTGTCGATAAGTGTTATGAGTTCTGCAATGAAATGAAGTATAGTATAAGGGATTTATGTAGTCAATAAACTGCATGATGATGCTTCTATTGGATGGCAAGTTATTGGACATTTATTTACTGTTTAGGAAAAGGAATGTTTCACGGAAAATGAAGGAGATATAGTTGCACTCTATGAGTGTGCCATTTTGTTTCGAATGCGCCAGTCCAAAGAGTTAGTTATCCTAGCGTAAGAATAAATAAAAGAAGATGCTGTGGGACGTCGCCGCGTTCGTGCACGCTACTCATGAGGAAGATTCTCACTGTGACTTGAAACTAGTAATGCTTTTCTCAATATTTACTTGATTTTTCTGAGTACCTACACCCAAAACAAACTCCACTTCCATTGAACAGTGTTCCATTCACCCAAAGGCTGCCTGGCAGAGATCGCGTTTAATGATAAGGCCGCCTTTGTACCCTACTATTCTTTATTATAATATCATGTATATTTCATTGATTTAACTCGTCGAGTACCGGTTTTATAGACACAATTAAAGAACAATAGGTCGCGGTCACCGGTGACCGCTTGGTGTTTGACAGTTTAAGGTGTACAATAAAGGTTATTATTATTATTTTATTCAAAGAAGAAGAATCAAGAGTCCAGAATTCCAGATCATTGTAACGTCCTGTCCTACTTACACAAAGTCTTTCCTCCTACCCTTTGTGTCTAGACACATAATGGTTTTCTTGAAACAAAAGCTCCCTTCATGTGCATACCTACAGTAGTTAAGAATAGCTTGGAAAAGTGTGTCATACAACCTACCTACGTCGGCACCCTACTGTCATCCCACAGAGCTCGGATGTGGTGTAAACTTAGCTAGATAGATTGGCCTTGTCCCAGCTGGTTAACTCGAGAGCGCTTTATGGAGTAAACTGTAATACCTCTTTGGTATATTTTAAAGCAAACTAGCAAACCCGGCGAACTCCGTTTCGCCACCAGATGGCTTCGTTTTATGTAAAATTTCGTTTGGTGATAAAAATATGAAGAATTTTTTTTTGTTTTATTATTTATAATCCTCACGGTGCGCTCGAGACCTTTCCAACGAATGCAAAATCGTGGAAATCGGTTCGTGCGTTCTGGAGTTATAGCGTCAGGAAGGAAAACCTGACTTATTTTTATATAGTAAATGATGTTTTTTTATTGAAAAATATTAGTTCTTAAGTAGTATCTTTTCTTTATGACAATGTTTAGGTTTAGTTAATGAAGGACCATGGGACGACGAATTCAGGGGTAAAGCAGAAACCGTCTAAATAGAGATTAAGCAATCGTCCGTTTCTATAAAATCTTAAGAGGGGAAACATGAACAGGGACTGCCTCATTGGCTGAGTGGCAAGGGGTCTCAGGTTCGATTCCCGGGTCGGGTAAATTATTACTGACTTTTTTAAAAAAAAACTCAGTAGTAGCACGGAGTCTGGAAATACGCCCGGTATTTGGCAATAAGCTCACCCCCTATTACATGGGACTCATAACATAAATAGTGAAAAGTGGGTGTTACTTCTGTGTGCACCTCTGCCTACCCCTTCGGGGATAAAAAGCGTGATATTATGTTATGTTATGTTCTGTTATGCTGGTCATTGTTTATTCTGCATTTGTAACCGATTTAGTACCTTCGACGTTTCTGACACTAACACATTAAGAACGTTTACGTGTTCCACGTAACTGTTCATGGGAAGTTAATTTCTAAAGACCCATCGTTCCCCGGCAATGAAGGTAGTGACGTTCTTGGATCAGCTCCAAATATTAGAAACAGATTAAAATTTAAAATGGGGCATCGCGTCATGTGCACAATGATACAGAAAACTGTGACACAGTATCAATAAACAGTGGTACAAGATTAAAGGTATCGGAAACATCGTGCAATACGGGAATTGAGGTGGAATCTTGCATAATGTTTTGGCAGGAGGGTAAATACTGATAAAGATTTTGTTTTGATGATCGATTGACTTTAGTCCAGACATGACATCACGCCTTTTACCACCGAAGAGATAGGCAAAGGTGCAAATACGGCACTTATTGCCACTATAATAATGTAACACCCACTTTTCACTATTTATGTAATGAGTCCCATGTAATAGGAGGTGAGCCTATTGCCATATACCTGGCAGAATTTCGGACTCCTTGCTACTAATAAAAAAAATCTCAGTAATACTTTGCCCGACCCGGGAAACGAACCCGAGACCCCTTGGTCGGCAGTTGCACTTGCGAACACTCGGCCAACGAGGCATTTTAGTCCCGACCTATTTTAGCTATAGAGAAAATAGGTGACACTTCCTATCTTTCAACAATAGGTACCTTCTGTAGACAATTGCACAGGATGAGACATACAACTGCGTAGTCTAGTTAATATTGTACGCAAATAATATATTGTACCTACAAACACCGACAAAAATAGGGTAGTTTCCTAAATATTATTTTATTGTCCGTCTTGTACATTCATTTAAAACTTTAGACACGTATTTTTTCTTTTCTCACAAAATAAAATACTTTCGACGATATATTAATTTGAAATATCGTGTGACGTCACAACGTGGCACATTTTGTAGCACGTTGTGACGTAACAACCTCCCACTCCTAAACTTAGCGCCATTTTATCTAAGTATTGCAACTTATTACGAGAAGATAAAAAAACACGTGTCTAATATTTTTTCATTATCTAACTGACGGACTAATTAGATTTTTAATATTGATACCCTGGAAACTACCCAATTCTTTAAATGCTTGCCAACTGACACAGAAGTTTCAGATTTTTGCGGACAACGATTTCATTATGATAATAACGTTTGAATGAGGCGATGATAACCGCGATGGCCAATTATGGCAGGTTAACGTACTATGTTTTTGTTCGTGAAATGCATTATGTTATACAATACGCGTCTCGAACGTGTGAATAAATCACATATTGTGTTACTGGGGTGAATGAGCCAGTATTGAACTGGTCTGTCGAGAGAAAAATGGTAATAAGCCCATGTAGGCATATACCTAGGTAAACCTACTTATTAATACGACTTGATTGTTTCTTATCGTCAGAGAAAGTAGCGAGAAACTAGGAAGAAAGCTGAGAGATTTGCAAGCTTAATGATAGAGTATTAACGCATTTATTACTTACTGCTATAACGATAAAATGAATTGAACGGTAAAGAATTATATACCTATAGCTTATGAAGTTTCTATACTATTTTCAATGTGCACAGTTCACATGCAGAAACTTGGTAACAGTATTCTCTGATAAACTAGAACTTTTAAACAGCGATCTTCAAGCGTAGCTTTTATGATAAACCTACTTACGTTACGGGCCATCCATAATCCACCAGTAGTCTCTCACGAGTTGTGGTTTATACCCCATCATCATAATATTACGCCTTTTATCCCCGAAGTGATAGGCAGAGATGCACATTACGGCCCTTAATGCCACTGTACAATGTAACACCCACTGTTTACTATTTATGTTACCAATCCCATGTAATAGGGAGTGAGCCTATTGCCATATACCGGACTCGATTCCACACTCCGTGCTACTACTGAGAATTTTTTTAAAACCCTGGAATACTTTGCCCAACCCAGGGAATCGAGTTCAATGAGGCAGTCTATACCTCATTACTACCTCTATATAAATCAGGTGTATGCACCTAATTCTGTCTTCAGGATAAAAATCAATTGTAGCTCCTAATACAATTAGGTCCCTTACTGAGCATTAACCTAGATTAAATCTACTGAATTCACAATGTCACGCTTGCCTGGCTAAGTGCCTATACTCGTGCAGGCTACAATTAGTTAAATAGTCCTATCACACACGGTCTAGCTATCTAGACTTGAGAACAAAGCTACCGGCGTCATAATAGGATTTACGTGCACTGTCGGTGCGTGGAAATTATCAAGGCGTGTAGGAATTATAAGCAGATGCTACCGTTCAGGTGTCTATTAGAAAATGACCAATAAATAATTAATTTAAATACGACGTTACTCACGTGAATTATTCGAGAAAAGCTCTACTAGTTTCAAGTCACACTCAGGACTCTTGTTATTATTTTTTTCATTGTTTTAGATCACCAATAAATATACATTGAATCCAAAGCTAAAAATTGTTTGCAATAAAAATATTTAAAATTATGCATCTTTAATAGGTTAACCACCAATTATACAATTTTGCGAGTAAAGTTAGAAATGATAAAATGAAATATTATTAGCATTAATTATTAGAATTTCTTCTTTCTTCCGTAATCGACAAGCATGCTTGAAAAGACTGATGACTTTTGATGAAGTGAAAGAGGTATGTAAGAACATAACATAAACATAACATTACGCCTTTTTATCCCCGAAGGGGTAGGCAGAGGTGCACATTTCGGCACTTAATGCCACTGTACATTGTAACACCCACTTTTCACTATTTATGTTATGAGTCCCATGCACATTTCCAGACTCCGTGCTACTACTGAGAATTTTTTTAAAACCCAGTAATACTTTGCCCGACCCGGGAATCGAACCCCAGACCCCTTGCCCGGCAGTCGCACTTGCGACCACTCGGCCAACGAGGCAGTCAAAAATATTATTTGTATTAATTATTAGAATTTCTTCTTTTTTCCGTAATCGATAAGCATGCTTGAAGACTGATGACTTCTGATGAAGCGAAAGAGGTATGTAAGAATCGTAGCAATTGGCGTTCCATAGTCTCTGCCTACTCCCATAACCATAAGACACAGGCTTATGTATTAGAATTTAGTATGTCTCACAATAGTTTCATGAACAAGTGTACCGCAAACTCTTAAGGCAAGGCTTGCATAGAGCCGGCTCGATGGAATTAAATAACCGTATGTGTGGATTTTCTTCAAACACAAACGAAATAATATTGACTGGCCATTGTAAACTGAGTACTACATAGCTTTAGACCATAGAGTGCCGTTATTTCTCTCTATACGTTACCGAGCCAATGGTAAATTCAATCATTGTAATAGAGGCTGAGGTTGTGGCTTTGCTGAGCACAAGAAAGGTTTGGAAAACAATGAGATCCTGACTACAATAGAGAGAACCTAAGACTTACCCTTAATAAATGATTAGTTATTGATTCACGTCCTTTGATTTCCTTTTTTTTTAATTCACCATAAGTATTTTGAAATAAGCAAGGGTGACGGGTGCAGATACATCATAACATAACAATGAGTCCCATGTAATAGGGAGTGAGCCTATTGCCATATACCGGACACGATTCCACACTCCGTGTTACTACTGAGATTTTTAAAAACCCAGTACTACCTTGCCCGACCCGGGAAACGAACCCGAGACCCCTTGCCCGGCAGTCGCACTTGCGCTCACTAGGCCAACGAGGCAGAGCAGATACATCATGCATGAGCTAATTGTGATATTGTATTTCTTATAAGTTATAGGTACCTACGACATAAAAATAGAAACGTTCAATTACCGTCTGATGATGCCTATAAATAGTTAGATAGGTACTATAAAACAAAACAAAGAGTAATAATATTTTTTTACTAGGTGCCTAACGATCATTAGATTTTCCGTTGTTTTTCTCTTTCCATTTTTCTAAGTGCTTTTGCGCTTAACTTTACGCTTTTAACAGTAATGGTAGTGATCAATCATAAAAGACACATACGTAGATTTTAATCAAATATGATTAATCTTGCGTTTGTACATATATTATTTTATTGGACTTTGTTTATATTCTTATTTCCATTTGTTTGTGTAGTTTAGTTAAAATAAGCTCGGTTATCTAATTGGCTACGAAGTATAGATTTTCTATTATCTACATCTACATAGGAATCGATACATAGATAACTGGTCAAAATTAGGTGTTATAATTATATTTATTACTTGTTTGTGAGATAACATAACAGTACCCAATGTCTATGTTATTTTGGACCATATTATTTTTTTAAACATTTCCCCATACTAATATTTACCCCTGCGTCGTGGGTGCGTGTACAAACATACAATTTCACATATACACATACACATCACACCCAGACCCGGAACAACAATCTGTGGATCACACAGAGTTGTTCCATGCGGGAACCCAAACCGCTACACGTTGCATGGCAGCCAGTTGCCCAGCCACCGCGCCAACCGTGCAGTCGAATATACCCCCCTATTCCAAATTTCATTTCGATTCCTTATCCGTTTTGAAGAAGGAAAGGAAGGAGGAACCGAAGGAGTTAAAATAATATAACCAACATGAAAATAATAAAACATACAAACTTTAGCATTTATAACTAAACTACCTTTTACCCGTCACAAAACGATAAAAAGTAGCCTATGTGATATATACCAATACACACAGCGCCATCTATATCAATACTTTTGTTTTCTCTCGGGAATATAAATTTTTCCGGGATAAAAAGTACCTTATTATTTAATCCAGACTTCTAACTTCACATCTGCAAAAATTCAAAGCAATCGGTTTAGTAGTTACTGCGTGAAAGCGGAACAAACAAACAAACTCACTTTCCGATTTATAATATTAGTAAGGATATTTATGATGTTGTTTTTTGCCTATAATTCGATGATTCATGTACCTAATGTTATGTCATGTTTTACTTCTTTTGATAACTCAATTTTGTAATCTGTGCACGATTAATGTCCGCGTGGAAGACTCGATGACACGACAGCACGACAAATGACCTTAACTTGATGCATGGTTTATGAATATGATCTGCATTGTAATGAGTCATAGTTCAGTGTCATATACACAGATATAATAAAGAAGATTTTAAGATTTTAATATTTCTGTCATATAGGTCTTAAACCTAGCTAGATACTAGGTAAAAGATGTTGTGGTTTATATTTTTTTGTAGATAATAATTATTGTACTTAATAACACTTTCGCAATTTCTTTGATTTCAATCATTTTTGCGTGATTTATATATGTATAATGGGTACAATTATAATACGAGCATTCATATTTAATTTTAGTTAGGTTAACTAAGGTGGAGGTCAAATCTTTGTAACTTTAAGTAGGTATATGATAAATGTACACATGCTCTAAAACAACATGCTAAAAGACGTTCTATTTTGAGCATGCTCAAAAATGTTCAAAAATCGAACGCCTGTCGATTTCCAGCAATCGAGCATGCTAATTTTAGGCAACATTTCGGCACAATAGGGTAGGTGCCTAATTTTTATTGTAATGTCCGTCTGGTAGATTATTTTAAATCATTAGGCACGTATTTTTAATTTTCTTACAGAAACGAATACTTTCGACGATATATTGGTTTGAAATGTCACGTGACGTCACTTCTATGTACATTTTATACGTAGAAATGACGTTTTAGCCCCCACTCCTAAACTTTGATTCGTTCTAAGTATTATTATATCAAACAAGAAAATAAAAAAATACGTGTCTAATACTTTTTCATTACCTAACTTACGTACTAATTAGATTTTTAATTTTCACACCCAGTCATCATCCCAATTAAGTGACAAGTGTTCAACTGAAGTACTTATGATTTGGTGCTTTAAAATTAGCATGTGTAAGTACCTTTAGTGTAGAGTTCTACATCTCTTCAATTATACTCGGTCACTCTACCGCCCTCTTACTTACTCTCACCTCACTCTATTTCAGTGACAAGTCTGTGTAGAATAAATATATTTCATCAACTTACCAGGTATATCATGAGTTCTTGCTGTAGGGATGACCCTGTTAGCGAAAGTGTAAGCAGTCTTCGTGCCGAACAGGAAGTAAGGTTCCTCTAGCACGGAGAGGCAGGTCTCCTCTCCGCTGACGAAGGCCAGCACCGACAGAAGGAACAGCCACTTCATCTTCTAGGGAATTTAGAAAATATAGTTTTATTTTGTATGAAAATTAAAAAGGCTACCTTACTTGATATTTTGTACTCGCTTAAGTTCTGAATAACTGAAGAAAAGATAAACCTATTGCTTACTTTGTATCGTGTTTATTACTTTTGAGACAAGTTTTGTAAGAAAAAAATGTTTTTCACCGGGATAGGATGGGAATACACTTCCAAGCGAAGATGAGGTGGACTAAATCTCTTTAAAAATATATTTAAAAAGTATGTAAACTAAGTATAAGCAAGAAACGTTAGAGGTAAAGCCGGTAGGAGTTGCCCCCTACATACCGCTGACCTCATTGGAGATAATATAGGTACTTTCTGGAAAAACGCCAGGTGTGGAGTATCTAGCCTATACCGTCTTTTAACTGGTGTTTGTATAATCAGGTGGACAAATGCTAATTAGGTAATTATGTATGTAAGAACGGTAATTAGAGACATTCTCAATATTTAGCCTGTTCAAAAAGGCGTGAGTTTACGTCCTTCAGGACTCCAGCTACTCTGCGTGTGGTGCGGTTAAAGTATTATGGAGTACTAACTTATTAAACTAAGTACTTATTTATTTTCCTACTAAATCTTCAGCAATATCAATTATATTTTTATCTGTCTGTAGTACTATAATTGTATATACTATAATTGTATGTTGTACTATACTATAATTGTAGGTCTGATATTATACTAAAAACAGAAGTATGCATAATGCAGTAATTAAGATGATTATTATATGTATAAGCAGATAATCTACAGATTGTAGCTTAGGCCTTACGCCTTAGAATCTATAATACTTAGTAGGAAATCTATCTAGGTTTCCTACTGATATTGTATTATGCTAATAAATTAAAATTACATGAGATACTCCACGTGTAAAGTTTACTTAGACATGTAATATATAATTTATAATTTAATGGGATATGCACAATAGTACCTACCTATCTACATAAGTACATCGCTTTGAATTGCAAATGAGTTTCATCTCATGATGTCAATCGTACTATGAGAACTATGAGAAGACTCGCAAGATCGTTATTTATATAAAAAACTTGTTCAACTAGTTATACTTAGATTGGTATCTACCTACAACCTATCTATTCTATGGATTATTATGATATGCCTACTATTATTACTATAAACAACTGGAAATTATACCGAATCTGTTTGGTAATGGTCGAACATGTGTGAGAGTACACATGCACTCATATATTTTTTAAGTTTCTATAGTTGTAGTTCTAACTTCATACCTATTTAGTTTTACCGGTTAGTTTTAAGAACATTTTGATACTTTATTGATTCCTTATAAAATAATTTCAATCTTCAATGCAAATTAGCGTATCTCTACTTCTCTACCCACCTTTTATCTCAGTAAGTAAGAATCTACGACAAAAAAATTGGGCGCAAACTCCAAACTCAAAGCAAACAAATAACAAAAGCAACAATGCGCGTGAACCTGCACTAATGTGGCACACTGGAACACTTCACAAAAAAGTATTTAACACAAAATAATTAAAACGGTACTACACTGATTACCTTTGCGCGGGAATATTCGGGAAACACTATGTTGTCTGTGGTTCGGTTACGCGGGAAACGCGGCGGCCCGCGGGCGCAATGGCGGAGGCACTGACTGGACTGGGCTTGGTATCCGAATAGCAGAGCGATTGCCTCGGTTGCCTCACAACTATAGGCCCGCGTGCGTTGTGTGCTTACTACCTCAGAACATTAGCACTCATATTGAATTAAGTTGAAGTCACATCTAAGATTCATACACAGTAATTTATTGAAACAATTGCTATTCAGACTATTTTGTCTTCCAATGTCTGTCTGTTTATACAGCTGACTTAGCATGCTTGAGTATGCAATTTGTTAAGTCATGTATGTTATGTGTTTGTGTTATTAAAACAGAAATAATTTATTTAGTACCTATTATCTACTTAATAAGTTTAGCTAACAAGGTTTGTTATGAAGAACCTACCAGCCTACCTATGCACTTATTATTTTCTCTCTACGCACCGCTACCTACATCCGAATTTCAACGTTCGTAACATGACTTATATAAAGTTATAACTTTTTATCTTACCTATTTTCAGTTAGGTCATTCCCTGAATATAATCCCGTATCGATTAAGGGACTATAGATAGTTTTTATGTCACGCATTGTCCAGCGCCCAGCAGCAACATGGATGACATCACGGTTTTGTTGAGAAAATAACATGTGAGGTAATTTAAAACGAAATACTACTATGTCATGCACAATTTATTGAACTCCCTGGGTAAACTGTGAACATCATTCTGATTAAAGTTGAATTCACACGGATAGATAACATACAGTCAGACATAAGCGGGATCAGGGATCAAATTAGATTATTCACAGTGATAGTGGGCGACACGCTCTAAGGTCAGTGGAAAGCTTGGATTTGTTGTTTTATTTTTTAAACTTTGGGTACCTAAGAGATACTTAGTGACGATAAGTACTGTGCGATTGCACACTGTGTTATTCCTCGACAGCGTTTTTTATATTTTTCTGAATTATATTATTCATTTCGTTTACTACGTTCAAAATACTTATATAGTAACAAAAATACGGACGGATAGTTTTCAATAAATTTTGCTTCAGTCCCCAGTTTTCCGAGCCAATCACAAGAACACCGTAAGAAAATGACGTAAACCGTACGCCCTATTTTCCGGCCGTTTGTCTTATTATTTGATTGTTCCGAGAGAATAATCGCATGGGAACATTTCTCTGCTACGCATCATTGTTTTTGCAGTGTCTATTCATCAGTGCATTGTAATCATTTGCATCAATTTGTTCGTAGTTAAATGTAGAACCATCTCGTGCAGGAAGGTACGTATTAAGTAAACAGATATGTAAAAAAGTCAACTGGTATTCTTTTGATTTTTTGTTTTTTCGGTTTACTTCTCCTACTTTATCTACAGATGGTAATTGCTATCCAACTTTAGTAATAATTGATTTGTTACATTACCTATCCTATATTATTGCTACCAAACTAACAAGAATTCTGTCTATTAGTATTGATACATTGATGACCTTTGTTTTAAAGGGGGAAAATCATCGAATGACTTCTCCTGCTCAGGTGAGGCGGGAGGGAGTGACAAATTCTTAATGACTAAAAACCACCCTGTTCCTACTCCTGCACGTCGAGTCGGAGCCCCGGCAACGCGTTGAGTCGTCCGCGGCTTCGTATCGGCACCAGCCCTATTGGTATTGGGCCCCATTCGACATTGATGATCTAGAGTACCTATAGACTAGTCAAAGTAGCAAAGTATTTACCAGACAGTCGACAGATTTTGACTAATATTAATGAAGAATGTTCAAACACGCGTTTGCGTCGTCTTATGCAAGCATTAATCACCGGGTTTATTACAACTGTGTTTGTTGTGAAGGTGTAAATAATAACATGTGTACCCTGTCAGTCGTAAAACTATGTGCCTACGTATATTGTGTGCAGGGACCGAGTCACCGAGATGTATTCGGGTTTCTTGGAAATGTTTATCTACTAAACCGTCCATGATGTTATTACATTCATGTATGATGGAATATTGACGGGATAAATACCCATGTTGTATAGATATTCGTGATTCAGGATTAAACTAGGAAAAATAAGTGATATGGAATTGTAATTTGCTCACCTAGACATTTTTGAAGCTTAATCCACGTATGGAGCTCTACCTATACAAGAACATAAACTAAGTACACTAAAGAAAAAATAATGTCAACTTCTGAACTCACACAATACAAGCTTAACATAGCAAAAAAGTCCAGTTAGAAAAGAACAAACATAGTAATCACAATACAAACCACAATCAACATCGGTCAGTGGCCCGTCTGTGACGAAAGACGCGAAGTATTAAAACCTTTGGCGTACCGACCTACTTGTATAAAGCTTGGAGCCCGAAGCCCGTAGAAAGTGATGGCGGCAAGCTTGCCTCTACATACTTAAACCCAAGATAAGCGTTATGAAATGCTCTGATAAGGGGATTACTTTTCTCATTAAAGAATGCAAGATGCTGTGTACATAATAGTAGTTTCATATTTTTAGATTTAAGAGCTAAGTAGATGGGTGCATTATTTGTTTTGATTTCATTTATATCTTGTCTATTTATAATCTGTAAGAAAACATTGTTATAATGAGTATCTACAGTAGCAATGTGGATAGATAATCATGGACGGGAAGACATAAACTACAGTTAAGTAGGTGGGTACAAGTATAAACTTCTTTAATTTCGAGAAAATTTGTTGATGAAGTGAACCATGTGAAAAAAATGTTGCTGTATCAGTTGATTTATCAAGTCAACTTACCAGCTTTTGAGGTTGTCTTTCAAGTATAACGGTATGTTCAGAGAGATGACTTTCGTATATTATTACCAACCACACACCACAAATTGCAATAGGTAATCTATATTTGTTTTTACAAATTGTCTTATAAACTATAAAATAATGTGCAAAAATTCATTTGCGTGACTTTAGGGCCATGCTACTAATAAACCTGCATTTCCATTCAATCTCGCAGTCGTATTAATTAATTATCGTTGCACTTATAATTTTTAGTTGCTGTTAGCCGATTTGAAATTCATAATTACTTACATAGTTACACCTCTGTTTTCCTCATCAGCATATTACCTTTCATAATATTTTTATGGCTTGAAATAAAAACAATCCATTAGGTAGGTACCAATACGTGAGATAACAACAACAGTACAAAGAATCTGTGTAAAATCAAACGTTTCCGGCAACTGCAATCTGCAGATGACAAAAATGTCTACAAGTCGCGAGACAGTTTAATCTATATTATATATATATATATAAAAGAAAGTCGTGTTAGTTACACTATTTATAACTCAAGAACGGCTACATCGATTTGGATGACAGTTGGTGGGGAGGTAGCTTAGAACCAGGAGACCGACATAGGATACTTTTTATAGAATACTTTTTTTTATTTTTTACCGAAAATCACGAACGGGAACGTGGGGAAATGGGATTACGCGTACGAAGTCGCGGGCAGAAGCTAGTGTCAATTAATCGAAACACGTTCGTATCGCATACCTTCGCGTTTAACCATGAGTGTAACAGTTACTACGTCTTCCTATACGTAGGTACAATACCTGGCCGTAAATATTGCACATCGACATTTGGAAACACACCATCAACCAAGTCGCCGTGTTTATTGCAGATTGCCAAAATCACCCAAAATAACCCGTTAAAACTAATCGAGCACTGTTCTAGTCTGTCGTGGAATTATAAAATGATTGACAAAGAAAAAAATTATATTTGTTAGGCCTGCGTTTGACCACTATCTCACCTGGTGGTAAGCTATGATGCGGTCGAAGCACCTCGTCCCATATATTAGGTAATATTCCACAAAATTCAAAATGATGTCTTTAAAAGTCGATCTGCAATATTTATTGCCGGGTACTGTACTATACTGATACAGCTAGTTGGTAGTTGAACACACCTATACGCAGTCCCGCAGTCGGTGCATGCGGCGTGACCTCAATTTTCATGTGCGGTGACCCGTCAGCCGTCCATAAATGCCACCTCATCTGTTACGGAGTACACGAGATGTCGTGTTGTTGCAGCTAATTAAAAATGTTAGGTTTTAAATAGAATGTTGTACGGTAATGGACCTTTTTGAAATAAGTAGGTAGAGGAATCTATAGTCTTTTTTTGTATGGTATATGGTATATTGAAAATGGGTGCAGTGTGATCAATACGTCTTTATTAGAAATAAAGCAAGAAAAACTACTTATTACGCCACGAGACACACGTAGAGTTAGAAGTTATCGTGTCTAAAGCATTTATCGATTGGGAAATTGGAAAAAATAATTATAAGACATCATACCTTTAGGAGCCAATTTGTCTAATAACATGTGTTGTAAATGCATTTTCATTAAATTCATAACAGAAAATTTCAGTAGGATGTACCTATTCCGGTGAACTATGAGGCACAATATAGCTAAATAGTCGTACATTCTATCGTTATTGGTTTAAATACATATTTAATTTCTTTAGATATAAAATTGTTAGTTCATTTTTATGTAACTATAAAAACAATGAATTCATATTGCAAAATTGCAATATGAATACTACTAACAACAAATTTAAAACTTCGACTTATTCGCGCCATTTCTGTTAGTCTATGGATTTTCAGGTGTCATACGACGTATTGATCGTTTTAATGGAAGTATTTTTGAAACATTATTTGATAACCAAAATAATGAATTTGAGCAACATGATTAGTTAATTATATTAATATAAATGTGAAAATAATATTGAAAATGAATTAAAATTGATGTTTCTTTTTTAAAATTTATTTTACTTTTAAACAAACAATTTTTGGTACTAACTAAACGTAACTTCTTGACTTGCGAGTGAAAGTAAAAAAAATGTTCTCTATGCTCATTCCCTAATGGCGTGTCTTCCTGTTACACACGTTATATCGTTAAAATGGCCAAGAAAAAAGGAGACGAGAAAGTGAACCAGCAACCTCAAAGTGATAATGAGGAGCCAAATTTTGACGAGGAGCCTGACTTCGACGATCCAGAGGGTTATATTGACGATATTCCTGACGAAGGTGGGCATTTTATCAGTGACAAGTTTGACCGGCCATATGCGTCACCTACGCATTTTACAACTTTTCATTCATGTTATTGCTATTTTTAAAGCAATCGTCAAGTTCAGTGTGTGTTAGAGAGTGTAACTTATTTACAATATGAACTTTAACAGTGAGTTTTTCAGTGTCATTATAGTTATAAAAACCTAACCTAACTTTGACGTTGCAGAGTTGTTGGCCGACCTTTTAGAGCAGAAACCGAAGGAATCAGACAGTTATGAGAACGTGGTCGTCGTCGACGGGTGCCCGCAGGTCGGACCCGAGCGACTGGAAAAGCTCCAGAGTGTCATAAACAAGATATTTAGTAAATTCGGGAAGATCGTCAACGAGTATTATCCGACTTCTGAGAATGGAACCACTACTGGTTACATTTTCCTGGAGTACAGCAACCCTCAGAATGCCGCTGAAGCTGTGAAGGCAACAAATAATTGTAAATTAGATAAGCAGCACACATTCTTGGTGAATTTGTTCACCGATTTTAAGAAGTAAGTACTCAAAGTTCTCATTTTATCAAAAACTTTTAGTGCTAATTATTCAAGGTTATTATGTAAGTTCATTGAGCTCTTGGTTGTGGAAATTCTCCATAACTCATTGTAATATGTATCATGTTTTCCTGTTATCTGCACAAATTATAATTCCACATCAAACAACATCCTATTTATAAGGTTGGTGTACTTATTCTTCTGATATACAATTATACATGTTTAACTCGTTGAGTACCGTATTTATAGACACAATTAAATAACAATAGGTTGCGGTCACCGGTGACCGCTTGGTGTTTGACAGTTTAATTAAGTTTGGCCACAGAATACAATCATATGTAAAGCTAAACATAATATTTCTATGCCTAAATTGAAAAGAAATAGCCATTTCATGTCTTATTCACAAACAAATATGCACCATTTTTCTCTGCACCAACAAAACAAATTACTCGGAGAACATGTTAGAGTCAACAACAAAAAAAATTCATACAATTACAAAGTAAATACTACATTTCTTGACTAACAATAATTTTCTTTCATCAGATATTCAGATATCCCTAAAGAATGGGAGCCACCAGCACCTCAACCATTCAAGGTCCAATCAGACCTGCAATGGTACCTGATGGATCCTGATGCATATGACCAGTTCCTGGTTGGCATCGGTACTGGAGTGGCGCTCCAAGTGTGGCAGAATGCACTGCCAGAACCAACTTTAATGCAGGAGAGACCTGTAAGTAATCTTTAAGTTTTTTTTTTATAGTGCAAAGATATTTACGTCTGTAACCAAGGGAATCCAGAACAAGGGATTAAAGTAGTTTTGTCAGTCAGTTTTAGCATGTGTGTAAGTTGCAAAAGATAGCTGGAATGAAGAATTGTTTGTTTTGTAAGATACTTTGATATCTTTGAATGTAAGCAACATTTCATTTCAAATACAAAAATATTATTATTGGATTTACACTGCCTCATTGGCCGAGTGGTCACAAGTGCGACTGCCGGGCAAGGCGTCTCGGGTTTGATTCCCGGGTCGGGCAAAGTATTACGGGGTTTATAAAAACCTCAGTAGTAGCACTGAGTCTGGAAATGTGCCCGGTATTCGGCAATGATTCACCTCCTATTATATGGGATTCGTAACATAAATAGTGAAAAGTGGGTGTTACATTGTAACAACTTAATGAAAACTTAATGCAAAGAGGTGCAACCTCTGCCTACCCCTTCAGGGATAAAAGGCGTGATGTTATGTTATCATGTTGTATTTACAATAGTTTATTGGATTTTTACAGTATAATTGGTGTAATTCATGATAATATGTTTTGTTCACATTTAATAAGTGCTTAACCCAAACTTTTTTGTTTCTCAGAACTGGACGGAGACTTACGCCGTGTGGTCGCCATTAGGAACGTACTTAGCGACGTTCCACTGGAAGGGTGTGGCCCTATGGGCTGGCCCTAAGTTCTCCCAGTTCCAGAAGTTCTTCCACCCTGAAGCTCGGTTCATCTCCTTCTCCCCATGTGAAAACTATATTGTTACTTTCTCACCGACTGGTGACAGGGGTGAAGATAAGAAACTCATTATCTGGGATATTAGGTAATATTTTAATTTTATAAAATCACATAATATTAGTTTTTTAGAAGTATGAACCTGTTTGGTGCCATCTTATTTAGTAATTCTATCTTATAAGCTTATTATTTTATTTATAACTAGTTTAACCTTTTTCGGACCATAATAACTTTTTATTTATCATCAAACCAATTAATTATCATTTATTTCTAAGTTATTATGACTATATGTTCAATAATTTACGAATAATGAACAAAAATACACAATACACATGGTTTAGGTTCAAAATCCTAGCTAGACAGTTCAATGAATTGCTCCAACTCACGCAAACTGGTTTGTTACAGAATACCAACCAGAATGTTTGGAGACAGAATACCAACATATTAATGTATACAAAAACTTGTGTTAGAGAGTGTCCTCCTTTTGATGTGGTTTGAATCTAGTCTAATCATTTTTAGTGCATCAATAGAAAGACTAGATACTAGCTTTATGAATAGAATGAGATTGTCAAGGTTCATTGTTGAGGTAATCAAAAGTTACATCAACAAAGTATTTTTCCAAAGAATAATGACAATGAAATAAATATTAACATTCTTTATTTTTTCTTGTTTCTTTTAGAAGGTCGGCACAGGTGCATAGGCACTTTAGAATACATTCCATACATTTTTATGCAAATACCTTAAATTACACCTCTTACGGTAACTTCTCTGTAAAATGTTAGTAGTATAATCTTTATCTTTGCCATAGGACGGGTCTAGAAAAGCGTAGTTTCCCACCACCGGACGAGTACGTCACCTGGCCCGTGTTCCGTTGGAGCAAGGACGACAAGTATTTCGCCAGGCTCGGCCAGGATATGCTCTCCGTGTACGAGACGCCTAGCTTCGGTCTACTCGACAAGAAGTCCATCAAAATACCAGGAATCAGGTAAGAGTCGCCATTTTGATGTAAAAAAATAGCATCGCATTTTATTGTTGTGTTTGTATAAAATTGAAGTTATTGTGTCAATGGTGTTTGTGTTTACATAAACCTATTTTATGTAGGTTGCAAAATAAATGCATACCAAACAGGAAACAATTGTGCTACTGGGTTACTTTCAAATATGAATAGTACAATGCAAGCATGAATCATGCTGATGTAAGAGAAGTAACTTTTATGTTTGCTATTTTTCATCCACAGAGACTTCAGTTGGTCACCCACTGACAACACTGTAGCGTATTGGGTAGCGGAAGACAAAGATGTACCAGCTAGGGTAACACTTCTAGAACTCCCCAACCGCACTGAAGTGCGCTCCAAGAACTTGTTCTCTGTAGCTGACTGCAAGATCCACTGGCAGAAGAGTGGAGACTACCTCTGTGTGAAAGTAGACCGTTACTCTAAAGTTAAGAAAGACAAAAATGAAATCAAGTACTCAGGAATGTATTACAACTTTGAAATATTCCACATGAGGGAAAAGGAGATCCCGGTAGACTCGGTAGAAATTAAGGAGCCCATTCAAGCATTTGCCTGGGAACCAGTTGGTTCCAAGTTTGCTATTATCCATGGTGATCCTGCTAACATCTGCATTAGTTTCTATCAAGTGAATACTGGTCAGGCACCGACTTTGTTGAAGAAGTTCGAGAGGCAACCCTTCAATCACTTGTTCTGGTCTCCATCCGGACAGTTCATTGTTCTTGCCAACCTTGGACTCACTGGAGGTGCCCTGGAGTTCTTAGACACTAATGATTTCACTATCATGAATGTCTCTGACCATTACCAGGTTAGTAAAAACATTTCTTAATGTAAATTAACTAGGTACATAATGTTATTTAGACAAACATTGTAGGTAATCAAAAATGATTAATAAGAATCCTTTTTCCTCAGATGTCTGGAATTGAATGGGACCCGACTGGTCGCTTCGTAGTGACTGGCGTGTCATCACTCAAGAGCAAGATCGACACTGGTTACTACATCTGGTCCTTCCAGGGTAAAATATTGAGAAGGTTAGTAATTATTGATTTGTTATCACTAAAGCTTTCGTTAAAAATATTGTAATCATGAATAAATATGGTCCCAATGATAAAACTTATCTGTAAGTGCAATATTAGAGATTTAGTTAGTATTCGTAATTGTGGCGCAATAATGCCATGGTATGATAGACCAATTAGTACCCATTGAGTCACGAGAATCAGAAATTTTATTGATTCTTTGTTGTACAACTTATTATCTTATTATTTTGAAAAGTGACATGTTGCTTAACATCTCAGTGTCAAGAGTCAATCTTTACCGAAATGATCACTATTATAATAATTTCTTGTTACTTTCTAATGCAATGTGTACCAAAATTCGTATTTTCAGAGTAATGAAAGAGGGCTTCGCGCAGTTCAACTGGCGGCCCAGGCCTCCGACGTTGCTCTCGGAGAAACAGCAGAAGGACATTAAGAAGAATCTTAAGAAATATTACTCACAGTTTGAGTCTAAGGACCGTATGCGCAGTAGCAAAGCTAGCAAGGTAAAGTCCACAAGAAATGTCATACTTCTAGTGATTTTCAGTGTTGTAGTTGTTGAATTTGACTTTGACCTTGACTTTTTAACGCCCTGGACCCATATCAGACCCTGAATTAATTTTTACTGATTTATGGAATTACTGCAAGGTTTCAATTGTAAAAATTTAATAAATTGTTATTTTTTGAGAACTTTTTAATTTGTGATGGGAAGATTTCATAAATATTTATATATTGTTTCGTGTTATAGGAATTGGTGGCTAAGCGTACTGAGCAGATGAAGAAACACGTGGAGTACCGCGAGGCCAAGGTGCAGGAGTGGAACGAGCAGAAGCCACGCAGGCTTGAGCTCAGGAATTGTACGTATACTTTCATAAAAACATCGTTTAGTCGGGTGGTAGAAATCACCATTGAAAATAGGACTGTTTATATTGATGTGCAATTTATTAGACATGTATTATCATACTAACTTATTTGTATCTTCCACAGACGTTGATACAGACGGTATCGACGCGGACTCGACGGCGACGACGGTGGAAGAAGTAGTAGAATTTTTCGTGAAAGAAGAACAAACGGTCATCGAGTAGTCACCATTCCGCTCAAACGTTAGAGGTCGGCGTACCTACACCGGCCTCAGATATACTCCGAAGACGGATTATAATACATTTTTAATAAACAGACCACATAATATACAGTTTTTTTATACCTTCATCCCGCTAAAGTCACAAAGGCATTTTATACGCGATAATTACATTATGTTCAGTGTAAGATTTCGGTTGATAAATTATACAATAGGTAATGTTTATAGAAATCATATTAAATTGATATGTTTCAAATGGAAAACGGCCTTTTAATACCTGTTTGTATTTATTTTTTGTTACATTTTATTATATATAAGATGATGGTATGAAATAAACAATGATAAACATCTGACAAGGGCGAATTATTTATGAATACTGCCTAATGAAGAGTTTTGGAGGGAGAAAGTTTGACTTTAATTATGATAAGCATAATAAAACAAAAGGCAAAATAATATTGCATCTCTAATTTACCTACTACCTCGTATGATAGGCTTTTTTTTAAGAGGGGAAAGTCATCGAATGACTTCTCTATGGCAATGCCATCAAGTGGGTTCATTCGGTACTTTCGCTTGCCAGATGAACTGCAGCAACTTAGCTAGGTTATTGGCACTTATCAGTCGTGCACCTCCAAGTTGCATAATTATAGCAGATAAGCTTTATCCGTAACATTCAAAGTTAGAAACGGTCACCGACTGCTGTGAAAATGCTGTTGTAGACATTAAAAAATAACAAAAGTTTGATAATCAAATCTGACTCATGAGTGTTCCGCACGAGGCGCCAAATAAAATGCTCTCGTTGCAGACAGATGTGAGGTGTACCATGTAGCGAATTATAAATCAATTTCGATTAATTACAGTGAAACCTCGAAGGCTGTATTTGATTAATACATATACTGATTTAATTCATAAACCGTATAAAAAATGCGGTGAAATGATTGAAGTTTGCAAATTAAATAAAAGTAATGATGTGGGAATCAAAAAATTGACGAATTGCACCTAGTTACCTATTTACAAAGGATAAATTAATTTCAATTACAATAACATTAAAACATGGTTAACGTCAGTATAAAAAAAATTATGTAGTTACATGCAGAGTTCGCTCCTTGTCAATAGATGGCGCTGGAGGTCGTTTTTATCGTACCACATAACCCTTCGTGTGCGAGTCTATTGTTACTAATTATTATATTTTGGTACATATAATACTAGGATTATTAACTCGCCGAAAGGGCCGGCAGAGAGAAGAGCCCCGAATCAAATGAAGAGACACAAACCTAGGTAGGATTTAACGACACACGTTGACGACCGTGTTTACCTATCTTACACCTGAGGGCCAAGCACGAACAACTATCGTATTCGTATCGTAACAGTATCGAGCGAGTTAAGCGTTCTGATTGGTTGGTTCACTTGAGCCGGCCAATCAGAGCGCCGAACGCGCTCGATACTATTACGTTACGAATGTGATAGTTATTCGTGCTTGGCACTCAGCACCCGTTATGTTATTCTTTTTATTTAATAGGAGTGGGTCTATTGGTCTTTTCAACATTTCTCTAACGACCATGTACCTAGTACTCGGTTAGTAGGTACTCCTTAATGCCACAAATGGTAGAGAAAATACCTACCTTACCGCAGTAGATAGTTAGCTCTAGTGGGCTCTACAAAATTAAATGCGGGCATTGAATAGTTGCGTTTCAACTAGCGATGTAGTTATACCTGGTGTCTTCGTGTAGGTATCAATTTGTTCCTACAATACCTATTACCTACCTGTATGTAGGCATACCTACCAAGTATTAGGTACAAATCGAATTAGGTACCAACACAAAAAGTGTTGTTTTAAATTCATTATGTTCTATATCGTGATCTGTTGAACCCACAGAATTATTAAAGATATAGATTAAGAGATTGACTGCACGGTTGGTGCGGTGGCTGGGCAACCGGCTGCCGTGCAACGTGTCGCGGGTTCGATTCCCGCACGGGACAACACTTTGTGTGATCCACAAATTGTTGTTTCGGGTCTGGGTGTCATTGTGTACGTGAACTTGTATGTTTGTAAACGCACCCACGACACAGGAGAAGATCCTAGTGTGGGGCAACGTTAAAAAAAAAAAATCTATGGCTTGATCCACGAACTGCGCTTACAAACATGGACATTCACATACACGTCACACCTGAAAAAACAATTTGTAGATCACATAACGAGTTGTTTCGTGCGGGAATCGAATCCGCAAAACGTTGCATTGCAGCGGGTTGCTCAGTAAGCAATAAACTGTAAAATGATTTGGTTTTGAAATATTTTCAGTTGTTTCTGGAATCTAATGTTCGGTGTGGCGCGGTGGTGTAGTCGTCTGTTGGACGTTTAATGCAACGGGATAATTTAGTCTACCTAGGCACATGTTTGATACGGGTATGTGATTCATGTTGTATCCATTCTTACAAATTGTTGAAGGGGATGGTATTAAATATTAGGTACATACCTATATAGGTTCCCGAGCGTACGGCGCGTCGCGTTCCGCGCGCGCCTCAAAGAGCCATCAGACCACCACAGATGGGGCCCAATAGGGCCGATGCCGATTCGGAGTCGCGGAGAACCTAACGGGTAACCGGGGCTCCGGCTCGACGTGCAGGAGAAGGAACGGGGTGGTTTTTAGTCAGTAAGAGTCTGACACTCCCTTCCGCCTCACCCAGGCGGGAGCAGTCATTCGATGATGTTCCCCCCTTAAAAAAAAAAAATACCTATATAGGTTAGGTATAGTTCGTTCCCGAGCTGTACCTACCAGTACCTACTCAAACTCAAACTCTTTATTTGCATGTTAAGGTAATACATACCTACAGGTCTTATGAAATAACAGGCACAGCTTAACGGCCTTTTTCAGGCGTTGCAAATTTTAGGGGTGTCACCAGCTTATTATAGGTAAATTACATTTTACCTAATTATAAGCCAGTACCAAATGAAATAGGCCAAACTTCCCAAAAAAAACCAACAAAAAAGCATGGAAATCTGTGCAAAACGAAAAACTAAAAACTTCACAAAAACAACGTACCTAGGTATGTCAACATCCACATCAGGTCAAATGGATTATCGTAGATGCTCGGTTTGCATCGCCATTGTATTGTGTACGCAAAAACTGGCCCATTTCTACGGCCCGGTCAACGAAGCCAACAAAACTAGTTTATTTTTATTCCCCACGTCGAAGATAAGCGCCTTCTGAATCGTCAACTGATATAGGTCGAAGCCTCATCAAGCTCATGACCTAATCACCTCGAAAAAGGTTTAATTGCGTCTTCTTACCAAAAAAGACGATCTATCTTTTCTCTTAAGAAAGTAATTAGGACTGTCGCTTTTTTTTGGTACCGATTTATGGTAGGTAGTAGGTTTATATGTAGTTCTACTTGCCAGCTACATAGATATTTATTAAATTTTATTATCAATTTTCAGAGAACCGTATATAAAACGTAACCTCAATATTTTGCCGGCCATAGCTAAGTAGGCATGTACATTTTACATATAAACCCTATGATACAAATCTTTTATGTAATCTAATACTTTTTTTTAAGGCGGGAAAATCATCGAATGACTTCTCCCGCCTCTGTGAGGCGGGAGGGAGTGTCAGACTTTTACTGTCACCCCGTTCCTACTCCTGCACTTCGAGCCGGAGCCCCGGTAACCCGTTAAGTTCTCCGCGGCTCCGAATCGGCATCAGGCTTATTGGTCCCCATCCGTGGTGGTCTGATGGCTCTTTGAGGCGCGCGCGGAACGCGACGCGCTTACGCTCGGGTCTGGTTCTGGTCGGGCGGCGAGCCACCCATGCTCGCCGTCCGCAGGCCTGTGCTTACGGTGGCCGGAGATCGTCACGCGATCTCCGACGCCCGGAGTGTCCTTCGCGATGGCTGGGTTGTGAGGAGGCAGCACTTCACTGCCTCACGCGCCACGCCTCCTCCTTAGCTAGCATGACTGCTTCGCAAAAGGAGGAGATGGCATCCCATTCCCCTCGCTCTTCATCATGACCCGAGATACGTACATTAGGTGCATTTTCAGTCTTCGTTTTGTTCTTGAAGTTTTGGAAAATCCAATAAGACCTATTGTTTGTGATGATGGTAAAACAGCAAATGAATGGCTCAAAGCGGTATGGCAGGAAAAGTGAAAAAACACCCTGCGTCAACTCATCTATTCCGGAGACACAACATCTAGGCTCATCCGCAACTCCGGCAGGATATTTACATGAATCGAACTTAATGTTTTTAGCAAATGTTGTTGTTTGTTGAGGTTTCGACCATCCGACCACTCGAATACATCTGATTAGGAAAATGATCTACGCGAGAAGATTGGAGAAGATATAAGAACTGAAAGATTTACGACTGTTCGACAGCCGTAGAAAAATCAAAACAGAGGTTTAATTACAAGTGATAACTGAAAACAGCATCAAGTGAAATGTAAAATATTTAGATTGAAGCCATTGAACGATTTGTTTTAAAATTGAATCAGGTTAATGACATCCACATCTTAGAGCTCAATCATCTTAAGAATATTCGATATTCATATTTGTTTACATACTGATTATAACTAATACTAACAAATCAAGTCAATGAACATTGTTTACGTTTATACATTTCCAAGAAGATGCACTAAGATTCAGTGATTCTATCTGTAAAAGTAAAAAGATCTGATTTATCTACTATCTTTTTATTTAATTAAGAAAATTAAGTAAATATTTATAAAAGTTTAATTAAGTATGTGAGATCGGGTATAATGTAAGAACGCTGTGTAAGATCACAGGTTCCTTTGATTAGACCCGTCGCTGTTACCTTAAGATCGTACAAGGGATTGTACAGATTTTTCTCGCTTTTAGAACAAACCCCCGGGCGTCCAGTGCACTTAAATACAAAAATATATTTTCCAGCTAAAGCGTGAAAAAGCTTAAATTCTGTTGGAAAAACATTCGTTGTAGCTAACATGAGAGCGCATGAGCGTGGTCGCGACGACGACGCGTCCATTCAGAAGCGCCGCCCTTC